CAATTCGAATTGCACTTCAATGAAAAAAGTTTAATTATTTGAGTTTACGTTTAAAGCAACTACTGTTTCCATTTCAATGCTCATTTTACGCTACTATTAAATAAATACATATTTGATGTTCTTACAAAGGAATGTGAAGTATGAAGCGCTGTGACAAATGAATTTAATAAAAGGTTTGCGCATCGTTTGACCGATTCGTGAATGCGGAGCTATTATATATGTGATTGAAAACAATGGAAAAAGTATTCCTGTAAATGAAATTTCAAAACGAAAGGGAGAAAAAAAATACATTTATCGATTAATATTTTTTCATTGTGATAACAATGATTTGTTTGAAAAAAGAATACTTCAAATTGTATAAAAACATTATTAATATGTTTTTCTCTATATATTATCGTGGTGTGATGTAAATATTTTCATTTTCTTAACAAAACTCACCGATTCGGACGATTTCAAGTGCTTGTAAGGCCATATTTTTTCGTCGGAACCCAGGTAAACCTAAAAAAATCATTATCGATTGTAAAGAAAATGCGAGTAAGCAAGAAGATAATGCTATTGTAAATGTATCTTACCTTCGTACCATATACTGGCGAGCAACTGTTGTACATTTGGATGGGCAACAAACTGTGAGAGAACAAACGATAGGATAAAATGACATTACATTGTATATACTTGGTCGTTCATGAATGCCATAATTTCATGAAATTGATTGAATCGGCTCATTTTTTACAATCGTTTTCGGTCTGTGAGGTAGAAAAAATGCGGTAAATAGATTGAAAGATGAGATAAAAACCTTTTTTTGTCGTAATTTGATTGCCAATTTCAAGCGGTTCAGGTGCATTCGTTCGCCGTGTTCAAACATTGGTGTTGATAAATTGGTTGGATCATGATTTAGCATGACTTCAAGTTCATTTGATGTTCGTGTGTGATCTAATAATGCGGTCGCAAAATCTTGACATTGTCTTCTCAATTCTTGGTATTCACTCTGAAATTTTATGCAAATTCGATCGATTTCGTTTCAATTCAAAAAGTGTTTTTATTTTGGCATCGTTTTTACATATATATTGTTATTATTATTACGGATTAGAATATTTACGCATTGGTATTACCTTGAATTCATGCTCCAAAAAGCTCAAGCGTCGCAGTTCCCACGAGAGTTCAAAAGCGGTTAATATAGGATCTTTTGAAGAGAGTGATATCAAACTTGGACTGGCCAGTGCTCTATATGCATTTATTCGAGAACGTGAGTGTCGCAGCGAATCATCCAAGCGTGAAATTACACATTCATCGCAACCACATCTGTAAATCGAACAATAATGACATCGAAAATAAATCCAATGCGAATTTTTCATTCTCTCAATATTCTGGTTTTTATCGTCCGAATTTCAAGTGATTTATGTTCATCGTATGTTGGTAAAATAACAAACCAAAACATTTATTATATCAAACGACAATATGAAACGGTAATTAAACTTCGTGTGGTAGTTGATAACTTCTGTGCGTTGTAAATGCATTGTGTTTGAATTTTTAGTCAAGTCAGTCAGCAGCTGAGTGCCAATAAAAAATACTTCATAAAATCCATTATTTGATCAAATCACAAGGTTTTTTTTCTGTATTTGTATGTGTAAATTCACAACAATTTTTTTTATCGTCGAACTTGTTTACAAACATTGCATATTTCAACAGCATCTAGTATGATAATTGAAAGTTAGCTGTTTCTTTTATATATTTCACAGTTTTTCTCTTGATACTACTTATTTTCCCAACAGATTTGCGATGATTAAGTGCTTTTGTTGATGTGCTGCAGATACGAAACCATTTCTAACGAGCAAAAAGCACGGACGGAAATAAAGAGCAGATTCGTTTGCGTTTTTTCCATCTTCCAATTCTTCTTCTTCTTCATCACATTCACTTGTGCAGTATGATTTTGTGGATATAGATAAAGCCCTTTTCACCAAATACTTTTCAGAATACTTTGATTAAATGCTCTTCACTTTTCGCTCGTATTCCAAACGATTGAAACAAATCCGGGATTATTTCGCTTACCCCATGTTTCACATCGATATTGACATTTTGTGTTCATGTATGTCTTTTGCCGGTGGCGATATCTGAAAAATTGATTTTACCGAACTTTCTAATGATGAAATATGTCGTTAGAATGAAAAATGAAAAATCATTATTAATCGAAAAACTTTTCGATACGCATAGCGGTATTTTATCGCTCCCTTACTTCCAACACCCAAAAATTGAGTGTACAAATTTGGAAAGAATCAACATTGTGCTTACAACAACGGATTAAACATATCAGTGCGGAACGAATCACATGGAAAACACAAAAATTCCTAACCACTGACATTTGGTAGTGACCGAATATAAATTCGACAACACAATCGAATAGCATTTCGCCGCGAATTGAGCCATAACATTTTTTTGTTTGTCATGAAGTTGTACATTTTTTTATCCTTTTTCTCATTTTCACACGTTTTCCATTGAATTTTGTTGCATTGAAACCAACGGGAACATTTACTAGAATTAGAATGTGGTGACCTATTTAATACCGCTACCATTCTGCTTTTTCGATTATGATGTGTAAGTGCCGCTATTTATCGTTTTTCGCCGCGAAAATTTTGCGCGCAAGCTTGTAAACAAAACGAGAATGTTTATGGCAAACAGTGTATACGAATGCGTTATGGAAGTAATAAAAGGCGACTGGTCCCTAAATTCAAAGCATCGAAACAAAAATGCGGCAATCTATGAAAATGTTGATTTGCGCCGAGCATTTACACAGACATAGCGGAGGAAACAATTTCATTCAAAAAAAAGTGTGATTGTGGTTTTTGGATCATTTAAATTCTGCAAATGTTGGTTTTGTTATATTATCATGTGGCTCTTTTGTGTTACGAACTTTAGAAAATTGTATTATTGACTTTCGTTTCGTTCATATTCACCATAGGTTTACATTGACCGTTTTTCAAAATTAATTAAAAATAACGAATAAATCATATTCTTGGACGGATAAACGGAACACTATTTTCATCATTTATATCCGATATTCCAATGTTTGGTGTTTTTTTCTCTCGTACTTTAATTGCCGTGTCCTGCCTAATAAATTGTATGCAAAATCAAGTTAATAATTTATCAAAAATAATCACTTACCTGGCGTCATGGGGCAAACTTAAATTTGCCCCACGGTCTAGTAAAATTTTTATAATTTCATAATTATCGCGATGTGCAGCTAAAATTAGTGGTGTTATATCTGAGGTGAACGTTGCAGTCTCAGAGGGCATTGTTTCCCATGACTAAAAAACATGTATGAAATTCAAATAGATTAGATTTTTTATTTTAATTTATATAAAATTGTTGGCCATAAAATTTAGCTATTAGTATGTAAATTGGATTCATCGTATGTTATTGAAAACTGAAAAATTGAGAAAATTGCACCAAAATCATACAGTCCCCATTGAACTATTGTTATTCTTTAGTAAATACGAATTAGTATTTGATATCGAACAGTAAATGAATACAGTGAGACCGCCTGTGGTTTTTTCCTGTGGTTTTTATTGTTTTCCTTCTCTCCAATGTTGCATGCAAATTCATCAGCTTCACAAACCTATCGACTGGGAATTGTTTCACGAAAATGACTAATGTATAGTGTACATTGTACACTGCTGTAGATGAATGACCATCAACTCTATTTGATTTTGAATGAAACTGAAAAAAATCGGGATGAAAGGCATTGCATGTTTACACAAAAGAAATCAAAAGTTTATCAATGGTGATGAAAGTTGGAATATTCCGTTTGAAATGCCTATTCACGTAATCGTGTTTTCATTTCATTTGGCGAAGCGAACCAAATCCTATATGTCTTTTAATAGAATATGAAAACGGAAATTCATTCAATTTATTGGAAAACTTCAAAGTGTTTTCATTTAATTCATTCAATCTCACACAGTATCATCGATTCGTGTGCTTTATTTGGAAAAATATTTACCAGAGACTAACAAAATGTCAGCAAAATGGTGTAAATGTGATATCATATGTAAATATGCACACAATGATTGACAAATAAATCAAAAAATTCATATTCATATTCAGTTATTCAATGATTTTTACCCCAGTTTTGTTTTCACTTGCTATTTCCAATTTCATTTCATGAATGATGAATGCGTTCGAAAACATAGGCGTGCTATATTGAAACAGAATTTTCAATTTTCATGCAAATTTGCTATGCTTCAACTCGAATTTCAAGTTCTTTATATTTATTGCGCATTAAATCATGGGTATGCCACACACAATATTTATTTATTCCTATTGATTTCAACACATGCTGAAACTATATCGTTAAACTGTGTATATATCCTACTATATAGCAATAGCGCAATATCAATGTGGGAGATGTTTCAAGTGATTTCAATTTGCACGGACCAAATAATTTGTTTTAAGCAAACAGAATAGCAGACTGATTGATGTCTCTAATTAGTTAATTTGATTGTTTATGAACAATCTCATATCGATTATTTTATTAATATGATTATAATTTGATATCCGTTGTCTCGAGCTTCATATTACAAATTTTAACTTATAATTTATTGAATCCAATTTGTGAAAAGTAATATAATAAACGATTCAGGTGAATAACCAAACAAGTAACTATCATTTTTGTGATAAATTTTTTAATCTCACAATGATGGAAAATTCTGGTCGAAATCGAAACAATATAAAATGTATCACACATTCGCATAATTGAATTTCTTCTATAAATTGCATTTCATGTGAAGTCAATTTGAATTTACACAACGTTCGTGAAAGTAATAAAAAGCATACGTACGTGTTGTCCCTCTTTTCGTTGGTCTTCATGATCGAGAAGCATTTCAACCGCTTCAACAAACTCCTCAGAAATGGCGTGTAAAAGAGCATCTTTTGTATCCACTTTGTAATTGATAAGTAAATCAACCATATCAAGATTTTCATTATCAATGGCCATTAGAAGTGCTGAGCGGCCTAATGGATCAACACAATTTATGTTGATGCGGTCATGTTCCTCGTTATCTTGAAGAATCCTAAAATTCATTGCAAAAAAAGTGCAGAAGTTTCATCATTTTCAAAAGTGCTGAATTTAATAATCTACAACACGCTTTGGCTATTATTCATTGTCATTGTAAATGAATAAAAAAAAGTGCTGCTCTAAAAATGTCAGAATATCCGTTCAAAATGTATAAATCTGTTGTAAAACTCGACTATCGAAAGTTTTGCTTTTTAAAAACCGCCATCGAGAAATGTATTTGCGTGATTCGTTAAACTCATCGGAAAATATATTTACCTTGTTTATTTAGCCAAATAACACACAGCTATCTTATTCTATATGCGAATGACATGAGTAATGCAATTTCTTCTGGTGCTACTTACCTTCTGGTGCCGGCTACATCGCCTCGTTCCACAGCTAACAAAAACTTTTTCTCATCGAAATTCAAAGCTTGGATCTCTTGATGTGGACGAATTACATTTTCCTCTTCCATCATGCCATGAATACTGTGTCGCTGCATGTATACAACATGACCCAATGAAAAAGAAAACCAAGTGAATTAGAAAATTCGAAAAAGGAGAGAAAAAAAACAAGAAAAAGAAAATCCGATAGAAGCAAGTAGACAAATTGAATGTGGGAATACATCGATGTAAGCAGATACATCGGAGAATGTTGATTGTAAAAAGGCAAAGTAAAGAATCAGAGGTTGAGCGTAACTAGAGCACACTAAATATGTAGATGATGGTGATGGTGATGGTGATGATAGTATGAAATGCGAAGTGCAAGGAAGGACGGAAGGATAAAGACGAAATTGCAAATAATTATATGGCGAAGCGTACACATGATCGATATTCAAATAAATGTATGTTGTATGTATGATTTGATAATATTATCTATTGAAATAGAAGTAAAGTGTCACACGCCAAATAATAAATAGTCATAACTCGTAATGATGTGGATATATGGAAAACGCTTTAATGGATTTGATCCATTTTCTTTGTTACGGTTGATATCATTGATATTCGTTGACGATGTCTCGTTTTCGCCGATATGCAATTACATACATCGTACACATAGATATTTAAATATGTATGCATATGTGTGAATACGATTGATTGTAGAGCACGCGATACGACACCAAACCAATGAATTGATAACAAAGGGTATGATTGACGTTCTCATTTGTTTTCTTTGAGTTACATTTCTGCAGAAAATATCTAATGAAAGCTTTTTCGCATTCTATTTGGCGTTTCATTCCATCAGAATATCTTCACATGAGTTCGCATTTATTCTATTCTTTATAGTTTTGCTGTTGTTGTTGTCATTTATTGCGCATACCTTTATTTTTTTATTGCAATATTTTGGATTATTTGCTGTTATCGGATCGTTGATATCAATTTTGAGTTCGGTAGCGCCCGAAAGGCGCCTTAAATTTGACGTCATTTTTTGAGCCAATGATGGTCTTCGTTTGCTAGCATCCCTTTTACATTCATTTAAAATGGTACTCGAATCCTGATCCACTTGATTATGTAGAGTATCTTCTTCGTTTTCTGTAAAATGGTAGAAATTAATTATAAATAACCTCTATCACACGAAATCAATACCCGTTGAATAATTTTGTTCCAATTGCGTCAAATCTGTTTTTTTTTCTATCGACTCCAATTTATACATAAAATTTGAATGAGAATCAATATTTTTCCCACTACATCCAACGCAAATGTTTGTGACAAGCAAATTCGAAAAAATAGAATGTAAACGATATGCCAATCTGACATATGACATGCTATTGTTTTCAATTAAAATATATGTGATGTACCATGTAATTGGTAGCATTTGTCGTGTGGCTCGGATACATTTTATATCCCCCCCACTGTGTATGTGTACAATGTGCAAAACTCATCACATCAATTGCTGTGTCAGTAATAATAAAAACGTATAAATATTAAATTCTTACCTCCTGTTGATATACTCTGACCATCGGCCTTCCATTGCGAGAACTGTGTGCATTTAGAATTGAGTGCAAAATGGAATGAAACCAGAAGTAAATTTAATACATTTGTGATACGGAGATAACAATTAGTGAGAGCAATGGTGGCAAACTTAAAGAAGAATGGCAGTGCATTAGATACGATGTTTGTTTCTTTTAAATTAATTAGCATCGATTGGAACGCATTGGTGAGTAAAAACTGGTCGCCTCTCTCAGATCAATAAACGTTTGCATTGACAGTGTTCGTTAAACGGATAGTAGTTTGCTGAAGTGGATAAGAATCGAAGGTCAAATATGGTAATATTTAATGGAATTCTGAAGAATGAAAACGACATTTTTACAAAATGCAAAAAAAAATGTAGGCTGTGGCTAATGAAAGACGTGTCGTTTCCATTATTTTTTTATTAAATCATGCGGAGACAACACACACTTAAGATCCAATTACATATCCAATTTTTTTCCTTCGTCTCTTTAAGCATATATATTCTGTGATAAAGAAGCATACTACTTTATTTAATTAGGCAAATTAACTTTAGCTAATAGGACGCATGAGATCGTTTATTTTTTTTGTCATCAAAATATCACTAATAAATAATATTCAGTCGTGAAAAATGTTCATATTCTGTGTTTTTTATTGTGAAACTTTAGTTTTCCCGGACCATCTTACCTTGACTTTTCGCTCTCGCTGCGCCGCTATCAAGCGGGATTGACGTCGAAGTGACTCCAGCTGTTCGAAATTTCAATATTATTTCAATCGCCGTTTATTCATTCAGAAAATATGCACTGTTACCGTTCAAACTCTTCTTCAATATTCCCACTGATTTCAGTCAATTTTCCTTGCAAACTTTGAAGAAAGAAATTTTAATCACCATAGACTTTTTCTATTCAATTCATCCAAGCTCTACTCTCGATTAGTCTATTCGCTAATGTGTTTCCATTAAAAATATCCTGAAATGTTAATTAAATGTATGAAATTTAATAATGTTTTACCTTTAAACACTTGCGATTATGTGAGACAATTTTAAGCAATTTTGAAGACGACTCAAAGGAAGAGATATGAGCTCAGTTTCTGTGCTGTAAAAAAAATGATGAACCCCTTGACATCTCAAGAAAAATGGCTCAGATGTTGCTCCAAACGTATATCTAAGTGGAGGACCACAACTTGGAGTATTTATTTTGTGTGGTTTAATAATTTAACGAATAATCGTATTTATAATGTACAAGTTGAGTATGTAATTAATGAATTTATGAACGTTAAATCCGGTTGGTACATACAATGCTTCATTTCTTTAACGCAATCAGTTTGCATCTGTTTTCTGACAAATTCTGTGTTGAACTTGGTGTCAGATATTTTAAAAGCTCAACAGCTCATTCAGGCACTTTAACAATCATTATTTCACATATAGTTCAGACAATTTACTCTAATTATGCTTCATTTTGATCATGAACTGAAAACAAATTACAAATAAAATGTAATTTTGAACAGCGTTTTCGATATAATTTTAAATTTGATGATTATACAAAAAAAATCTAAGAATGAACGTTTTTGCGCATAGAATTCAGAATCAGAAGCACGCAACCAACACATTCAGACGATGCGTTGTCTTGTTATCGATTCAGTACGTGCCGCACTTTTCGATGTTCTTTAGCAAGAAATTGAATCGATTAGAATATTCATGACCTCAGAAGAAATTTCTTAAAATATAATAGCAACATGTTCAAGTTCATACAAAAAGTATATGGACATATTTTAGTTTTATTTTGACAAATTTCTTGAGGTTACGGATATTCTAACCGATTCAATTGAAAAAGAGAACAGTACGTAAGTTAAACACCAAAAAGTGAATGACTACAAGATGCTGAACACAAATTGCTGGGTCTTTCGTTAAATTTCGTTGCACGTATATGAAATGTTTAAGAAGTCAAATATAAGCAAAAAGTGAACTTTTAGTGTGGAAGTGAATGGTTTTAGAAGATTTTAATTGCTATTCTTTGAATTGCGCTCAATTTCAATTTTAATGTTGTTCAATATAATTCATTCGTTTTGGTTGAACGCCAATTAGTGTATGCCAAAACTATCGATTTTGTTACTTATTTTCTCTTGTGATCGCTTTAATTTCGTGCCGACATTCACAGTGAACGTATGTGGTTTTGGTACATTTTCTCTGGTGTAAACACATCAATCTCGTAACATATGAGCGATACACAGTTCGAACAATAAACCGAAATGAGATGCGTTTGCATCATTTAAGGTTTTAAATGTATTTATGTTCGTACACTCCATGTACACTTATGTGTTTAAATAGAGCAGCAAATATCGAATAAAACTGATATTAGGCGAAACTTTACAGTTGATTGACATGCGAGATTTTGAATGTGCGAACGTCTCTTACCAGGCCATAATTTTAGAATTTTATCCACACCAATACCCACGTCTTTTTAAGAGCTTTGTTTATGGACAGGCATTTATTCACAATAAAAAAAAACACCAAATAGCGGGTGAATAAAAAAAGTCCTTGACGCCATACTCTCCAAACAGATATATGTGATGAGCGTTTTATATTGTTCAAAATGTTGAATTCGAAAAAAATGTTGAAATTTTCATCTCAAAATTCTTGCAATTTGTATGTGGTTTTGGGCAATTCAAATGTTCTACTTCCACTTTAATTTATTCAGTTTCATCGTGTGATTTTTCCTGGCATTAACATGACACATTTTCGTTTAATGAATCGTTTATTTTCCCGTTAAAACAATTTCACCGTGAAATGTTTATCGTGGTGGTAAGTGTTTGTGGCTTGATTTCATATTTACCGTTTGATTCCAATGATAATGATGAGATCATGCATATGAGACGAGTCTGTGAACGATGAAAATGATTGCATTGAAATGTTGTAGTTATTGGTGTTTAATGACGTCGTTGTTTGCATTAGTTTCATGTTTTTTTGCGGTTTCAAATGCATACCAATGTAATTATTCCATTCACGATTCTCACTGTCAAAGAGAAATAGGCAATAAACTAGCGCACAATGTCTGTCTTAATTATTCTCTTCACATTTTATAACAATGTTCGCGGGGATCTGTCGTTTTGTAGGTTTTGTGGTAAGTTTACTGTTGTTCACATTTTGCAATGAAAATCTTAATCTTATAACACAATGAAAATCAGCTCAACATAATCATTTATATACAACGTTATTTCTTCGTTCAAAAATATGACCTCACTAAATCTGGGCTGCTTCAAAACCTTGTGGTTTAATTTAAGGATTTTCGTGCCCAATAAAATGTAAACCAAATAATCTTGATACCACTGTTTAACGGTATCATTCATATTTTCGGATCTTAGATAACAACAGCATTTCGCATTATTCGTTGGCGTTAAAAATGGCCATAAAATGAATCAACACATTTTTGACCCATGAAAATAAGTTTCTATTCGGTTTGTTTGATATTTATTCAGGTTTGTTTTTGGGTTCTTTTTGAGTGGAACTGATGGAATTCAAAGTGTATATCAAAAGCTGTCTTAAACTTGACTCAACACGTTTTTTATATTCTTATGCAATACCTATTTTTGAACAGCCAATAAATTCAAAATATGATGAATATTTTGACAGGCAAGTGTCCCTTTTCAAACCTTAAAATGACAAAAATGCCATCATACATATTCTTTCTATTTTACTTTAACGAATTGTCATGTTGAAAAACAAAAAAAAAATCGTTCGTGTTTAAAGTACACCAAAAAAATTTGAATTTCATAATAACGTATTGTCTAGAAATTGGACAGTCACCAATAAAAGTTGAAATTTTTAATCCGTAAGAGAAAGAGAGAGAGAAAGGAAGAAATAGAGAGCGATATATATAAAGAGAGACTTTGTATGTTATAGGAAGTACTGATACTTCCGAATTTGCTATATAACTATGATAAATCAATCGAAATGTCAAAATTTTTGCATGCGCCCATAAATTATGATTTTGCTCATGTACCAGATCAACTGAAAAGCGAAGAAAAAAGTCTGTTGGATAAAATTCGACTCTCCTACTCTATTAGTATTCAGCACGTTTCAATGTTTATCTTAAATTCAAACATGTGAACATATATCATAGAAGCCTTTTGTACAATTTCAAACAAACATAACGAATTCGATGAAAACTCAAAATTTGGAAAATTCTTCGGAGAAATTCCAATTTTGTGTTATCAAAATCTAAGGACATTGAATATGCTAAAATGAACCGCAGTATACAGTACACGCCTTCGGACATTTAAAAACGTCACAACATCAAACCATGTCGACAGAATAGAATGAAGTCACAACTTTGCAAGTATAAAAAGCTTCAACGTACCACTTAAAACTATAATTTCAAGTAAAATGATGCGCTTAAAAGCAAACTTTCCAACTAAAATCAACAATAAATTCTTTATGTGAAATGGAACGAAAAAACATCTCTGTTTGAATCTACAGATGAATGTTGGTTCACTTGTTTGAAGGTAATAAACGTTTCTAACACACATTTTCTGTTTAAAGGAGAATCTTTAACTATCCAACAAATCATTCGTTTTCCATTGTTGGTTTGTGCCAATTTTTCCAACGCCCTTATTTTTATCCGCTGACAAAAATGCATAAAAAAGTAAATTCCCATTTTCCAGTGATATTTTTTTATGTATAAACATTAAAATCATTAATTTTAAGCTTTTTTCCCACCCTTTTCATGATTATATACAAACATTTGCATTACGATTTTTTCCATGCCTGTGATTAAACACAATGAAAATTTGCTGTACTGAATTAAGCGAATTGCCAATTCCAGTGTTTCGCTTGGTTCGTTTCAACGTTTGTTAAAATCATTTCCATTTATGTGTCCCTTATATATTTTTTCAAATCTGCGTTGATTTCACTCATTTTTCTTTTTTTTTTGCGTCGCTTACTTTGTGTCCTTTTAATGTACATTTTTCTTCGTCGTGAATTCGTCTTATTTCAAAGTCATCAGTATCGTTATCTTTATTGTCGTGAGCTCATTGTAAAAGACAAGTGAAATGGCTTAGCGTAACTGAAAACCACACTACCATCGACATTTTATCCTTTTTACACATCTTGTGCGGACGGTGTAATACCATATCTAGTTGAGAAAAAAATGCACAACATTTTTGTGTCGTTTCTATTTCTTGTTTTTCTTCTAAGAAAGAAATATAATGTTTAAGAAGAAAAATTGCAGAAACTAGCCCGAGGCTTTAAAATAAAATAAGTACACAAAAAGACATAAAAGAAAAAAAAAAGTGTTCCTAACGATAAAAGCGGACACCCACTTGTTTGTCTATCATTGTTGCGATCCAATTATAGTTTAACTATGAAATCATTTTTCATGCGATTTTCATTCAAACATTTAGCATTTAATGTCGCTGACATCGCAGCAAAGCGAAACAAGAAAAAAAAGAAACCACAATATATTGCCCGTTAATTTATTTGCCATGGGTCTTTGACATGAAATACATGCAGCTCGGAATATACCGCGAAGGCATTCAGCACACAGATTTCAATTTCAAATTGTAGGCGCACGAGGATATTTATTGATTTTTTAACAGTGCGATTGCATGTGTAAACGTGAAAAAATGTCGGTGAAATGAGGCCACTCATTCATACAACGATGTCGAACGTGATGCATTTTCTTCATATATGTCTGTTAAATGTATTCATTCCGTCCAATAATTCAACAATACAAAGCGCTTTAATACTGGATCCATATCGAGAACAAATTGTGATGGGTTCCAAATAGGAACATGTATATATATGTTCAGTTGTATAAATCCGATATTTGAATGAATAAAAAAAATAATCACAATATAAACGATTTTCTGGTAAATTGCATGTAACTTCTAAAAGCAAAGTCGGAACGGCAGTCAAATACGGAGATATCTACTCCTTTCCTTTTCCAATTGCACACAATATGCAATGTGCAGTAGACATGAAACTGCATACGAAAGGAAGACAATGTGTTTGCTCACATAAATATATAAATGCAACCTTTGAAAATAGTGTATGTATACGAATCGATTTCTCTGACATTATATGTCTGTTGAATTTACGAGCATATTTTAACATGATAAAATGTATCGCCATCATCACTAGGTTATTATACGCTATAGCGTACAGAACCGATATGAATGACACAATTTTTGTTCGTTCTCACTCATTAAATCAAAAAGAAGAAAGACGCCAACCGAGCTTGAAATCGCACTGAACAAAAGCAAAACGTTGGCGTAACCTCAGCTGCAATAATTTTCATAAGTTTTTATCTCAGTTTATTGTTCAGTTTGCTCTGTATGTCGTGAAATAAAAATGCTAGATTTCTTTTGAACTTTAATAAATAGGAATTTTCTTTTTATATTACAAATTTTAACTCTAATTACACTTGAGAATTGACGCAGAATGGTTGCTCTGTTCGCGTCGCGTGTCCCAGCGTATCGTATTCAAATGAAAATCAAATCATAATGAAAAAAGAATCGCGCCCAAACCAAAAGTGGATATTTCCTTCGCGTCTCTTTTATTGAAGTTAATACCCATAAGCATTTGGTTGTATCGTTGAAAATAATTAAAGAGAAGCGATTAGAGTTTTACCAAACAAAATTAAATGAAATTTTGTATCAAGTTGATACTATCAACAGCAAAAAGGCTGTGAAGCATTACCCGCATGTCTACTCTTTGACTTTGGACACTTTACGGAGCGTATATCGGTCGTGGATAAAATGTTGAAAGGACGAGACCATGAAGGTCTTTGTATAAATTTATCAAAACGAAAAAGGAGTCTGCAATGGCATGTGGCACTTGTTCGTCACATTACATAAAATAAGTTATAAACTCTCACTTCTGAACACCAAACACATGCCGAACATTTCAAGCTTTCCTTTTTCGTGATAAAAAGAAACACACATTCAATCTTGCAAGCATCGTAAGTGGCTACTTCAAAAAGATTGAGAAGCTAAAACTTCATGGATGCATGTTTCAAGAGCAGAAGTCAAACATAGTCAACTCCCTTCAGCCGGTTTCTTTTTTTTGATAAACTCTTTGTCAATGGAACAAAAAAGTACATAAAGAATCATCTCGACTTTACTTCTTCTTTTTCTTTGCATTTCTCTATTTATTTTGTTCATGAGGCATGCATGATATTGATTCTAAAAGTAATTCTCCTGGAGAATCAACTAAATTTTCCTTTTGACTGCCGTTTAATACTTCATCTCTCTGATCAATAGAATTTTCCGCCCCAGTCACATTGACTGCACTCACTTAGTTTCGAGTGCATGAACGTGAGCTATGTGAGAGTGGGTTCATTCCCAACGAAAAATGATTTATATACAATGATATCATTTCAAAGTGATACAATGAAATCAATATGACTACAATAATTGAGATAGCACTTATGTGAAACAATTCATACATGCCCCGTTCTTTTGTATTATTATTATCACTACATTTTGCTTGTTTTTACGTTCATGATGTGGTTATTGTGGTTACTGTTCGCTGTATCTTTTCTGTTCTTCGTCACAATGGAAGATGGACCACAAAAAAGATTTAATTGATGTCAATTTGGTTTCCTTCTACTGGTCCAAAATATCGCCAGAAATTCCATTCCTGTTCGTTCACAGCGCGTCAGTCAAATTTATGACATTTAGGCCATTTGTTTGCAAGCAAAAACAATTCAAGATACGTTGGTTTTATTTGAAAACTTTATCGGCAAAACTGTGGCACCGATGTTAAAACGGTTGAATGGAATAGCAAATTCATTTGATTGTAAATAATAATCATGCACTACAAGCCAAATGGATTATTATTCTTTCATTATGAACGCATACTTTACTACCACTAGCGATTGGCCAATATGTTTTATTTGAGCAACCTCATTTCATTTTAAGCCTAGGGGCTAGACACGACTCTTAAAATTCAAATAAGTTTGATATTTTTTTTTACAATTTTTTCATCTTCAAATTCTTCTGAAGAATGTTTTGGTCTTGGACCTTTTTTCGTGATCGAATTGTCAACACTGCAATAGTTGCATTCACATTATGGAAAATGAATCTCCTAGCTTCTCCTAGTTTCATGTAGTTTTTCAAGAATTATTCTTTGAAAGTTGATAAAAACCGCCAAATATATTCAATTCAACCACATTTCACTAATGAAATATGATGAAAGTTTTGATTGAAATTTATCAAAAAAAAAAGTGACTGAATGAGTAGAGCAACTCAAATGAAATCTCAAGCGTATCAAGAACGACGAAAATAGAAAACGTTTGGACTGAGCGAGTCAGAGTGTACATATACTTTGTTGTCATCAGTGATAGCAAACAATATTAACAAATAAAGTAAAAAAAAATCCCATTTCAAAAATGCATTTTTGTTGAATTTTGAATTCTTCGCTTTGCTTGCCATAAACCAACCCAAGAGAATAAAATCGAATAAAACATGTTCCAAATAAAAAGTTTAAGTTTGTTGCGGCTTGATTTTTTTTAAACTTTTTATGTTTTCCAACTGGTTCCTTGAAACGTTTGCTTGGATGTATTGCACGCTTTTCTTTGCTTCGGTTGAATGAACGTAACGAAATTGTTGTTCTTGAAACGAATATGTATATATACACAGAGTAGTGAACGGCTACTTTAATTGTTCAATTGCTTGAATAAAATTATATTGCGATTGCTTAAGCCTACGTAAGATTTTCCAAAGAACTACCAATATTTTGTAGATTGTCATCAAGAGTAATTAAGAAAACTTCATCTGAATGAGCAATAAAGTACCAATTTGAAAGCTTTGTTTCATTTTATTGCCTATTCGATACATATATACGTTTCAACATGATTCATAGTTCACTTCGAGTGAGTTAAAGGAAGAAAGAGTGAATGAAAAAGTGCACAATTTAAGACTAGAATGAAATGAGGAAAAAAGTGCACACGATAACAATAAAAAAAAACTACGAAATGATGGTTGCATATCACGCAATAGGTTATTGCTCTAGATTTTATTTATGCACAGATTTTTATGCAAGTGTCGTACACAAACACAGGTAAACACTTAACTCACGCGAGACACATACGACCGTATATTTGTTTCACCCACTGTTTTCATTCAGTCAGCAGTACATAGTTATAGTTTAAGCACACACACTCTCAAACACTCACATTTCCGTAGAGTAAAAGAAAACGAAGGGAAAAGGAAGAACAATCGTCGATTGTAACAGAAAAAAATCTACTCACGAAATGGGGCAAGAATGGAAGAACAGGAAAAGGAACACGGTAGCAGTAGCTTACTGACACAAATTCACACACAACCATGCTGACTGGCTTGGCAAATTGAGTTTATGGATTTGGTATAAGGGATAGCAATCGCGCGCGCGATGAAACAACGAAAGGAAAACTACCAAAAGAAGTTTTATTGATTAAAAAATCCGGTTAAAATGCAACCGATATATATTAACTCACGCTTATAAATTCACATTCTAAAGCAATTCTTTCAATTCTCGTGCTCGGATTTCCTGCGGCTCATTCACTTCACATTTTCTCGTATTTTTTCCTCTCGGTTTCTGTTGTTGTTGCATTTTTCACAAACGAAAATGAAAATATGCACTTGTTTCGATGCGAAAATAGTTTTAAGAGGAAAACTGAGTACATACACTCTGTGCATATGGTTCTTCAAAAATTCGTATTCAATTTATTTTAAGAATCGATTCCATTTAGCGCTCAATTTCATGAAATTTATTCACATTTTTCATGATTGAAACGAATTTCCAAGAGTCTATTATAATTATTATTCATGGGGGCAATGAAATGGGCGAATAATGCATTTAGCATTTGTGAAAAATAAATATTTGTGATAAATACTAGCAAGTCATAGTCATTGCTAGCTCTTTGGAAAAACTGAGTTTGTATTAACGCATACAACGCGAGTGAATAATAATTTTATGCCATCTGCAAATACATCGTAACAGTTTGAATAATTGATAAATGTCATCCCTGATTTAAATTATACGTCTCCTCTTGACTTTTAAACAGAGTACTTAATTCGTTTACTCTTATCCATTAGCATAGTACAAGTTGAATAGATTAATATTTTCCACATCTTCAATTAAAACAATCATATTTTAAAAGTCGTTTTTTCATCTCTTGAACAAAAATTTGAATAGATTTACCAGACATATTGCAGTTACATTTAACTCGATTGATGGTTATCATTTGTAATTTAAACAGACAATCTCCTCGTTTTATCTCGTATATTTTATTTATACGAAGTCACACGTGCATAATAATCCAGTACCAAATAAAGTTTCACGATCGAAGGAACTTTCGTGGAGGTTTGTACGAATGATATTACCACATATTCATTGCACGTTTTACAGTTGAATTATCTCTTTTATTTTGGATTATGAATCTCTGACTCTTTTGCACATTCAATAAGACTCTTTTTCTGATATTTTTATTTATCATGGATATCACAAAACTCATTTATTCAAAATGAAAATAATATTTTCGTCGAATGTGATGAGACAATAGCCGCTAAGTTCTACACTTCGTTTGGCGTCATAATTTAATTCCATTCGTATTGTTCTTCATTTTTTTTGCACATTTAAAGCACTTCATTCGAATGTGGGTGTTTAAAAACTTGATTAAACTTCATATTTTGCACCATCAACGAATTAACTATATGCACTCTCAAAAAAAGAAATATCGAAAACAAACGGTTCAACAAAAAGTATGAAATCGAAACTGATATACGAAATGAACCAAAAACGGTTACAATTTAAAAAGGCACAACGCACAAAACACAGACTGAACTGAACGATATAGCATTACACTGCCGAATGATGAATCGAATGGTGGTGGGTAACCGTTTTATACGTGTGAACGGATGGATATTTCGGCATTAAATAAATCGCAGAAACGGAGAAACGTTCGATGCCGATCCATTGAATTGATTCAGTGATCGTGTATGCGCATCATTTGATTGAAAAGCGGGATGAATATGTTGTGCACGTCATGCGCATTTTTAATTCCATATAAAATATATACGTTGATTTTCTCACTTTTCATTCGAATATTCTCCTTCGGCCATTCGTTGCGAGGAGATCGAGATGGAGAAATCGTATTTTAATTCAAATCACGTTACATAGCGACCGTATTGAAGTCAACAGCTTCACTTTTTCCATGCTCTTTTAACCACACACTCACACTTAATACCTTTGGAATATAATGTAAATTTTAAGCATTTCTATGCCGCAAGCGGCATTTTCTCGAATAGATTTACTTTTTCCGGCATTATGACATTGTTTTTCACCGTTAGAGACAACATGGAGACTGCAACTATGTATTGCACGATTAATCATTCATGTAATTTATCTCCCCTTATCGAAGAAGACAACTTTCTGCATACATGCATTGCAAACAGATATTTATTTGGGGAATGTGTGGCATTTCAGCCTATGCATATTATCAGCAATGTGTTCAGTAGTAGTTCATGTCTTATTTTAAATTCTTTATCCAGACATTTTTCAAATATTTTACCATAATTAATGCCATTTTATATGAAAATGTCAATTGATGTCGAATAGGCGATATTTCTTTAGAATTCTTCACAGTATTGATTACCATTAATCGAAGAGCATATTTAAACCTTATTTCTTTATTAAAGTTTTCTTCAAATACATTGATTTCAACAAAATATATTTTTATCGGTGGATGATTTCAATAACGATGAAATCACGTCAATTTTACATATTATGTTCACTTATTTATGCATTTCATGTGTCACATATTTTATGTTCTATCTAATAAGGTTTAAAAATTTACTAAACTTATTTCAAGACACTCTTAGTTCGTAAAATTTTCATGACACCCTCTCTTCTCTTTATGACAATTCCATTTGTTTTACTTTTCTTCAGAATCAGTTCGGTAAAATCTAAAATGTCGTAAATGGATCATCTCGTAAACCAAATCCTTCATGTTCGTTAAGTGTTTCAGTTTCAAGTTTAGTAATTTAAGTAAATTTTTTGGTAAAATATTTATTCTTTGTATTAAACATTAATATCTGCACTTCAATGCTTGCTGAAAGCCATGTCAAATGAAGCTAACTTTAATGTTAAGTGCTCAAGTAAAGTGCTCAAAAGTAAAAATTATAAAGAAAAATAAAAAAAACGTAGCAAGCATTGAAAGTGAAATCTGTTAAATTTTTGCATGATTTCGTATTATTACACTCAATATTTGAGATGTTCAAAAAACGAAACAACAAAAAAGCGATTAGAATAAACTTTAATTGCGGCGTTGAAGTGAATGGTCGAAAGTATTTTTTACAGTCGCATCGTTTTCAAATCAAGATTAAAGTTAAATCCCACCTCTTATGACAGATAGCGTGAAACAACCATGCACCGTATTAACACAGAGTACGCCGTTGGCGTGATTACAGTTTATCCAACAGAATGTACTATGTTGCGGGATGAAAAAACAGTTTCCTTGATTGAAACAAATCACTGACAAATTGCGTAAACTGTGGCTGTAGCATCCTGAGTATGAAAAAAACACCAATGACAATTTAACTTTCACTTTTTATTCATTTGTTGTTGTTTGTTCTTGTTTTTATACTGACTATGGTATATTGAGAGGGGAGTTTGTCGCTTCAAAATGTGATGGCATTAAGTTTATTCTATCTTCTAACCTCAGTCACAGTGAATATTTCAAGCGAAACAGAACTTTTCAAGTGGAATTTAAAAAAAAAATGTATTTTTATACATTCTTTTTGATAACTTTTTATTCATCTTTAATGGAACTTCAATCCATTGAATTATATGATTCAATCGACCATCTAATCGACTATGTCAAAAGCCATGATGAATCACAGCAACCAGACTTGCTGTTGGGTATTTTTTTGTGTGAAGGTAAAATTAAGATGAGGCGTAGTGCATTTTGTGGGTGTAGATTTCAAAATGTAATATGAATTTTCCATATGGTTTCAGTTCAACTGGAGACATGTTGGAATGAAACGGGTACCTATAGCAGCAAACTACCAAAAGTATTAGAAAATGTGAAATACATACGTGAGCAGTATGATAATAGACTGGTAGACCGTTCAATATGGGGATCGGATGTGCACAATTCAATTGGTTTGTCATCAAAATGTTCCGCATGTCAAAGCAATCAGTGATTAATTGTGTTTATATTGGTATTTTTCCGTTCGTTCAATATACAGTTGTTCAACAATTATTGAACCATTCAACATTGAATTTTTGGGTCACATCACTTCAAGCGAACAATGCGTATCTGTTTTTTGGAAATTTAACAACTGACTATCCGCTGTCAATTACGCACGAAAATTTCGCTGAAAATATTGATAGAGGTTCTCCTACACCATCCGAATCAGGTTTACATATATTCACTTTTGAAAAAAGTGGTACCATCGAATTTGTTTTGTGGTAAATGGAATTCATTTATTTATTTTATTTATTTAGATGAGTGTTTAGCCGAACTATTGAATTCAATCCAGTGTACGATAAGTGTTCGATGTCTACAAATTATGTCACTAATCAGGGCATCGAATGGATATCATTTGACTCATAAGTACGTAAATATATGCATATATTTTATCGATTATCACAATAGAAAGGTGTGACAATATATTCGAGCATGTTGAGCATGTAGGTTTATAATAAATTCAAGTGATAGACATGTTATATTTTCAATAAATGCACACTGCACAACTAATTACAAATTAATATTGATTTGAAGCAATGACTATATTGCAATGACAGATTATTCTACTTAATGTTGGTTGCAAAGTATCGTGATTGTGACTCTTGTTTACCTGTCAATGGAATATCAATTGATTTCATGATTTATACATTGTGTGCGATGGTGTGGCACGAACGGAATCTTATCATTGAAATGGATATACCGAATCAATTGAAAGATTTACTCTTGGAGCAAAGTAAGTGCATACATTTAGTTCGAAAATGATAAAAAATGACATTTTTAAATTTGCTTTTAGCTCTACTGTGCGGCTTAAATGGATACGGAGCATTCATTGACGAAAACACTGCGAAAGACATTGTGCAATGGCAGAACATTGAGTCCGGTTGTTTCGAGTACTTTGATGGTTCTTTATCAAATGGGAGTGATGATTTAAGCACAAAGAAAATCGTGAAACGCTTCGCTGCTCCTTTGAAAGATAATTGCTCTGATCATATGACGGGTTTGGCAGCAGCAGCTTTTGGCCTTTTTGCTACAATTTGTACTACTTTTCAAGTATAAAAAATGGAAAACAACTCAAATTTTAGGAAAAAAATCAACTAAATATTCTTTTTGGTAAAAAAAAATTAAAACAATTATAACCAACCATTCAATCAATGACATACTCCATTATATCAAATAAAATGTTTAACATTATTGTGTGCATAAACCATGTGTTGTGCTTTTTGAAAAAGCTTGGCGCTGGTGTAGGTCTGAAGATATGTCGCAGTAAGTTGATATATACGTAGCTATTAAGTAGGTTAAACTAACATAGAAAAAATGCAGTTTTAATTTCCACGAAATATTTATTGGTCGTTAATTTGAGATTTCTCGATGTCATATTTGAAATCACTCGATGTAATTGGTTGAAAAACGATTGTTAATAATGTGGCTCTTCATATAACAATTTAATTCCAAAAAGACGTAATATTTTACCCATATATTTGTCATCTACGAATGCTGACTCATCATCAATACAATATTCAATAAATATATTTTTTGTAATTGAAACTGGTAAAAATGTCTGAAAAAAATAAATAATAATGGTTTTAAAAAAATGTAAAATATATTAATGAAAAGTGAACAAACGAGAGTACGGCTCATGTGAAATGCCACAATATGAAACAAACAACATTGCGATAACGTCTACCATCTAGTTTCTTTTTATTCAATATTTCAGTTCAAGCAGTGCGCACATATATTTTCCATCAACGACTGTTATCACTCGACCGAGTGAACAGCAAAACAAATTTCAATATGTTGCAGTATAAGTTGTTGTTTGTGTACGTTGTACGTATTATAATTTACCACATTCATAGTCGAGTACGCAGCACACATTCAATTCAATCGAGTGTAAGTATAATAGCCATCGAAAGGAAACCATACACATACGTCTTGTATCTATTGTTACTGTTCGTATTCAAACATATATATGTATATGAGCAAATGATAAACGAACAGAACCAGATATACACGAATCGTTATCACTTAAGTCGTGCACAGAAATTTGAAGTTGTTACAAGTTCGTCATGTGTCGTTTTTGTCATAACAGAGTACAGTTCTTTTGTGTTTGAAAGTGAACGACGAGCTGTCGTTTTCAGTTTTATTTTTCTCTTTCATTGATATACGTTTATTCATTTTGTTTTGCTAAATGGCAAATTCATTTCGTTTTTAACTTTAAATAAGACAATAAAAATATTGAAGCTGAAAACGTTTAATTCGAAACATCAAAACGAAAAGAGAAGGAAAAAAATCGGTACCGATCTGTACACATACAATATTGACTGACGATCGTATGTAGATTCATAAATACATATGACGTAGTGAGAAAAAACGAAATGGTTTTTTCAAGTGTCATATATGTTATTGGGCTGCTGTGTGTAAATTATTCGGATTCTTATTGTGAGTAAAATTGATAGAATATACGATTCGATTAATGCACTATTTATTTATATTCATTATATTTGGTGCCTGTTGGTGTTTCGTCAAGCTGTGTATGAATACAGAGTATGGTGTGTACATCTAATGAAGCACCGATGTGCTTGCAGTTAGCACCTTAAATGCATTTACAGTCGTATTTGCACTGGAACCGTGTGTATCATCGAAGACACTGAAATAAAAACGAACGAATAAAAAAGACAGCATGAAAAAATGTATTAAGGACCGAACACACAACAATAAAAAATTGAATATTTTTGTATTTGTGTATATGTCACATAGCGCGCACGACGTGCATACACATCGTCGTCGCCATATACCGTTGGGAAATACGAAAAAGAAACCGACATATATATCCGGCAATACAGTGATGAAATAAAGAGAGACAAACGTTCGCCACGCATTACAATACATAACACATCAATGTTCAACTACACATAATCAATCGCTAAATGCAAAGGGCCACACAGTAGCGACAAATAAACGGAGCGAACAACAGAACCACAAAATGAAGTGAATAACGAGCTAACGAAAGAAAAAAAAAAACATACCAATTATACGATATCATTTAGTTTTACAGTGAACCAAAAAATATTTAGAAAACTAAATGACAAATGAAATAATAAAAGAATATAAAATAAAGAGGGAGAATACGGGCGAAAAGTAAAACTAATATACTGAAAAGCACATTTTTGTGGAAAAATTTAACCATCTAAATGAAATAACGTGTTAGGAAGAAAACAAGATACAATACCGTGAATTTTGTCACACTTAAACCATTTAGGTTTATGTGGTTTGCAACTTTTCGCCCCAAATAATACAGTTTTTTCTACTTTATTTTTCAAAATAAACAAAAATACTATATATATTCTATCAGCAGAGAAAAAATTCAGCAAAGTGCAGTTGAGAAAAGAAATCCAAAGGAAAATACTATATGAGAAAAAAGAATTTTCGATTTTAGAAGAAGAAGAAGAAACTAAATGAATGATCAGAAGCTTATCATCGCTGCATGTGTTGATTGAGACGTTTTGATTGACGAAATAAATGGAAGACGCAGTGTCGATTTTTTACGTCTTACGTTAAAGAAAAACAAGTAAGTATCATCATCTGTGTGAATCACAAAATGTGTGTGTTTTATCGATGTTTTGAAAATAAAATGAATTTGATCACACATATCTGAATTCATCAACGTAAATAATAAAATAAATCGGAATGAAATCTTCTTCAAAGGAAACTCATATCCGAAAGGAAGTGAATCATAAGTTAAAGTGCTTGTGACCATGTTATATATTTATTACTGTTTTTTTTTTTTAAATAGTTTATCACAAACAACAAAATCAACAACAATAAAATTAATGAAAAATAAAAACATAAATGTTCATAAATACGAGGTTCATATTTTAACTATGAATGAATGATGATAATGTGTGAGAGGTAAAGTTTCGTGGTTACTTCGGGCTCATTTTGAATTTTTATCCAAAAATTATCGGAATATTCATTTTATCGGTTGTTCACAAAAATTCTTCCATGAATTTTAACTTGGACTCAGATTGATATAATTGAATCATGTGTGTGCCTGAGCTCACAATAAATTGAGTGTGTGGTGTATAATATTTGGAATGGTATTTGTTTTATTTTAATTTTAATATGACTGAAAGCAATCTTGGTGAAGTGAGTGTGATAGCAAATGTTTTGGTAGTCGACATACTGGTTCCACCACATATGTGTTATTTTTCTCATTCTCCGAAAACCATCATTTTCGGTTATTTTCTTTTGTTCGTGTATACAATCATGCCGAATAACAATTCAATTGTGCGTGAATATGGAACTATTGTCAGTGTCTGTTCTTTTTTTTATTCGTATTTTAGCTTTGTGTTTTTTTCTTATAAATGTATAAATATTTTACCGGTCAGTAGTAGCGTGCACATTACATACAGTTTGTGTCAATTCTCAATATATATTGCCACCGTATTTGACGTATGCAAAACGAACAAGAGTGAGAGAGAGAAAGAAAAAAAGAAAAAAATCGATTTGATTGGCATTATTCAATCCAAAAAAAAAAAATGGTATAGATAATTATTTGTATGCAGTTCATACTGCAACATATTATAATAATATTATTGTTCCATTTCCTCGCTGAAGTGTTCGAAAACAATTTGAAATACATGTATTAATGGTATGGTGATGAAAAATGTCATTTTAACACCAGAAAAAAAAACTCGTCAAATTTTATGGGTGATTGCTTCGTGGCTACTTCGACACTAGTGGAAAATGCCATATCTGATAATTTACGGAAAAGCGGGCAATAAGTCGAGTAAAAGAAGCTCTTTTGAATCAAAATTGAGAACTGTACATCAGAATATTGATATGAATATATGGAAAATTATAAATGCCGCGTCAAATTAATCTTTTATGAAATACGTGAATCGAAGTAGTCCAATGATGGATATGTGTATGATTCGAATCCAATTCCCCTCTGTTCTGCCATTAAACTCAGTTAGTCAATCGAATTTATATTCAAATTTAAAATTTTCCCCCAACAAGAGCCAAGACAGTAATTTTGTTGATACGAAATTTGTGGAAATTTGCATCTACAAATGTCGATAAATGTGTTGCTATTTTTCTGAAATTCCGTTTGAAAATTTGGAATCACAGATTTTATTTTATTTTATTTTGTGAATAAGTGTGACAAAACTATTATTTTTGTCGTCAATTTTCTATTTTATTCGCAAATACCACTGCAACATTCATTTGCCAAAAACATTCATCAAAAATCTGCTTTCATCGAGTCAATAAAAAAAAGACTGCCTTCTAAAACATATGTATCAAATAATAAGCGATTGCTCATTGCAACCATACCATTTTTCATGTTTATTAAATGTATTGGTATGTGTACTCCATTATTCCAATAACTAAGTTTCTACGGCTGGTGTCGCGTCAATCATAATCAATGTGCGGTATTCTCACAAATTTGCAAATAAACTTTTTTGTTTAAAATGCATTTTGAACAATGAACTCAGGGGCTATGACGTGTGGCAATGCAGAAAAAAAAACAACGAAAACATCAAAATAGCACAACCATAAAAAAAACGAAACAGTATACAGAGACAAAGAAGTATATAAAAATTATTGATAAAACACACTAACTGTCTTACCAAATTTGAGATAAAAACCAACGTTTTTTTTGTTGTTATTTTACCCCAACGATACTGGATTGGGTGATAGAAAGAGAACAAATATATACTCATTCTTTTTTTGCTTGTTATTTGAAGCAATCATTTTGTGATTCGAAAATGAATTCGCACATTTCAACATATTTCGTTTCTGTGTCTTCATATATTCACTTGGCTTGCGTATTATTGTTACCGTTTTAAGTTTGAAACTACACATAACACCAGACGTTGTTGATGTTCTGTTTATTTCTGTGATGATATGAATATTTAAAGTGTCTCTGTATTGAAAAATCAACAAAAAAATTGCGCCCGTATGTAGAATATAGATACCGCTCACAATACATACTCACACTTGTTTTAATAGTGGGGAAACCATAGTTAACAATCATAGTGTATTTTGTTTGGAACTAACTCTTATATTATATAATGGTTCAGTTCATATGATCAAGTTGGCATAAAAGTAAAAAAAAAATATATATATGTAAAGAATCAGACAAATGTGAGTAAAATCAAACAAACAAACGAATGTGCACGCAAACATAAACATAAGCAATTTCGCAAGGAAACAAAATGTGATTATTATCGGTGATAATCACGAATATAAGTGAATGACAATGACAGACGACTTTGGCTCAGCAAAAAAATTATTTTCATTTTTAGTGCCCGTTTCTGTTCGCTTGAATGATTTGTATTTTTGCTCTATAGAACGAATATTGAAATGCATATCTGTATGATTTTGCCATTCGTTCAACGTGATTTCTTCAAGTTTTCCTTACGAAATTCGTACATAAAATAGTTGAATCCACACATCTGGTTCTTTTTTATCGTATCAATTGTTAGTATCACCGTGCTTTCCCATAAAAATCATATTTATAGAACACGTATATAATGCACCCATTTTAAAAAAGAATTTATAATTTACCGAAAATACGTTATAAATTGTGGAATAAATTTCTATCGATCGTGAAGAAAATGTTGAACGAAAAATAAATAAAATGTTATCACATTTGCTCGGATTTGCCAATTTTATGTAATATAATCAAATCGATTAAACTATTTTTCGTGCTACTCATTAAATTTATAACCGAGCGAAGTGACATTTGCGGCATGATTCGGACAAAGTATACCAACTTTTTGATTTGCCGATAAAGGAACAAAACGAAAAATAGTACCAAAAAAATCGAAAGAACTTTAAAATTTTATCGGCATTCAAAATGTGTAAGTCCAATTTTTAATTCGGTTTGGATTCCATATAAATAATTTATTAGTGTTGTTATTGCGTTGCTCATTTTTCGATACACTGTTGAACATGAACACAACAGTGCATATAAACGTAGTTTTTTCGCTTTAATCAGAGATGCATTTCTCCCACAAATCGACCTATTCGATAATTGTAGAATTTTTTTTTATGATACGCTTACACGTATGCATTGTGCATATATGTGTTTCTACTTTTATTTAAAATAAAACCACTTGACAATTTTCAATATGCATAAATAATATAATTTCATAAAACCAATTCCCAATGCACAACACACATTATACAATTATGTCCCATTGTGCTAGAGATTTATCAAGCGTGTTGTCTGAAATATACAATACATTTGAAGCGTATACATGGACAGATACGCAGACATAAACACACAAATATAAACACTTAAAAAAATGAGTAAACGTATGAGTACAATAATTATCTCATATAGTGCACAACGCAAATGCAGGTAATTTGAGAACTGAGCAACGTATAACACACGACAAATTTACAATTGCGTATCGAAGCCATAATACCGTCGTTTCAAATACAGAAATAAACAAAAGCGAAGCAACGTTTTGTTCTTGAACAAGAAATTATGCTGACACTCGTTTGTGTGTTTCAAATGTTTGTTTATTCACGTCTTTTCTTCAATTTCTTTCATTTTGTTATTTACACTGGAAAAAAGTGTGATGTAAGAACTTTATATGCATATTAAGCTTAAACATAATATTTATACACTTACTCTCTCAGCAAACATAAAATGTATGAACAGAAAAATTACCATCATTGAATCGGATCAGTTGACAGTCAACCGAGAAGTGATCAAAAAGTCGGTTAAATTGTGTAATCAGCACGCTAAACATATTCCAATGGAATTTTCGTTTGCTTCTGACCTATTTTTGAACAAAACAGTTTTTTTTTCTGAGAAAAAAACTAAGAAAATTATTCAAACTGGAAAAAAGAGGTTAAATTGAAAGTTATACTCTATTTTATTGACCAGTGAAAGGGAAATTGAACATTCGTTCATTTGAATGTAAATGATTTTTATTCACGTTTGAATTATTATTAATGTTTACATGAAAATCCTCACTCTTCATTTCTTTTTTGCTTTGCGTGCAATGGCCACAATTCATGCCAGAAAATGATGGTGATGTGAATTTCTGATAACCAACAATTGGTCACTTGCGCTTTAACACGTGGATATGGAAATCGATTTATTTATAAAATATTTTGAAATAAATAATTTTAAAAATTTGAACTGTTTGCAAAAATGAAATTATTCTTCACGACCTGTATTTCTGTGATAAAACAGTTTTGTCATGAAAAACGAATTCACCGATCGATAATAGTATTTCACAAGTGTTTTGTTCTGGAACTTTTGGTAGAATAAATGCGTTAGTAAGCAACTTGATTCGATGAAAAAAATGTCCGTTTAGATATACAAAAGAGATTGAACGACTCTCAGCTAGAGAATGAACGAGAAAATAAAACAACATATTCGTTAATTTTCATTTTACAGGCAGCTATACAAAACATTGTAGAAAATATATTCCGTCTGAAAATGTAGTCTATATGTTATTGACACAATTGTATCCAGCACAAAACCATACAGAGTAAAGTACTCTCTCCCTCTCTCTCCCTCTCTCTCTCTCTCTCTCTCTCTCTCTCTCTCTCTCTCTTTTATTCTGGCAAAGAAAACAAATTAATATGAAATAAACAAAATAAATAAATATAGTATACAAAAATCGAATCAAGACCCATCCATTTAAAATCCATTTGGTATATTCATATTCACCAATGACGTGGTCACAATACAGCACCTATATCTAGGAATCTGAAATAAAATAATTGCACTCGACCAATGATATGAGTCAGTATGGAAGTATTGAATAAATTATTATTTCAGGAACACAAAATGTAAGCTTAATGGTCATTTTAGTTGAAAAACTACAGGTAATGCCATTAGGCGAATCAGATATATCCAGCTTATTGATTGCATGCGCTCACACCAGCTTCTATACAAATGGTTTATTAGTTTATTCTCGATCCATCGATGTTATTCACGTTTATAAATAAACGTCAAAATGATGGTAATAATAATGACTTGAATTTCACTATATGGATGTCCAACGACCGCATATGTGTCATTATTATATTATTTTATTAGTTTCAATATGTCATCAAATAGAAATTATTATTGCTCCAAATTTGAATGTCGACTTAAAATTGTTATACCAAAATGTGCCAACGTGTTTGATAAGTACTGATTGAACCGATATGGTCTCTCATGTCTCTCTAAAATGAGAAAGAAAAAATAAAAAGATTGATTCGAATGTATAATTATTAACTGTTCTCAAAAGGTCCTCCATTCATTTGATGCACCACTATCCATGGCTGACGATAAACGTACTCACAAAATTCTTAATAAAATTTTAAAAAATACTGTTTCTTTGTAGTTAAAAGTTAGTTGAACTTGTTTTTGAAACTCATTTTTTTAGTGTGTGGTCGAAACGTTAATAGGGCAACAGGCGAAGAATGTGAGTCTTATCAACGTTCAAGATAGATTATTATATTGAAACCGAATGTATTTGACTTTTTTTCGTTGTTCTTAAAATGTGATTTTGATTACGAGGAATAAACCAGCAGAAAAAAAAACAGAATATATGTATGTATTGGAGATATCAAGAAATTTTGTTGATTAAAAGCTGTTTATAAACGAAAGAAAAAGTAAGAGAACGAGAGTGTTCTGCGTCGCACATTTTCATTTTATTCATTTTTATTCAATTTGTTTGTTTTAAAATATTTAGTTCTATAAATATTCACTCTATAATGACTCGCAGACCATCTACATCATATTAAAAACCTGATTGTTGACTTAGTAACGAAAACAGGATTGAACTTGAATCATAAAATTTATTCACTGGTGATTATATTTTACATATATATTTTTTTTTTCCGGTAATTTTTGCATGGTGAATTTCGTTATTCTATTTCAATGCAGTTATATGAAATGTGTCTGCTGTAGATTCACCGATAATATTGACAATTGCGGTTATAAACAACTTCCACATAGTTTAAGTTTAAGTTTACACAATATTTTTCCAGTTTTCATGGTAGTAGATTTAATTTTAAAAAAATCTATTGAATTCCCTGTGCGTGATATAGGTACTTGCAATTAAAATGATCCACTAGATTTTTATTGTGATAATGGTCAGAATCAAAACATAAATATTTCCATGTCCACGGACCCTGACCCAATTTACAGCTTGATGTGGAGGTAAAATTTGCTGCTATAAAAATATCATTACGTAAAACACTTTGGGATGAAAACGCGATACATGTGCACATATTTGATCTACTAACATTGATTTTCAATAAAACATATGAAAAATTCGAATGCAGTTGACTTAATATACAAAAAAAAATATCGACGGAAAAATTATAATTAAAAAAAATAAACTATCAAATAAACTTAGATTGTTTGATTTTAATATAATTTATACGATAATCAACAATACCACGTGTGACGATAGCTCTGGATATGTTTGCTTCATTCGGCTCGCGCATTCTTTGAAGTGCTAAAATGTGGAGAAATGTTCCATGTGAATGCCTTTATGATAGATGAAAAAAAAAAAACTGTACAGACGATAAAGCGTTCGCTTCGGTTCAGAAATAAAATGCTGACGTGTCAATGTGCGATTGTTTGGACATATAATATAATGTACTAAAATCTCATTCAGTGTTGTGTCAACCATGAAATCTTGATGAATTTGTACATTTCCAACCAAGCGAAACGAAAACAAAAATGTGTTGCGTTGAATTTGATCAGCAAAATTACTAAAAAAAAGTCTAACTGTTCTGATAAAAAAGTATATAGAGTTGATATGGTATAAATGAGTTTACCTTCATATTGAATATTTATCGTGTCAAAAAAGCGAAAAAATGAGATAAACTGATTTTTATCGCTTGTTTATTACATGTGGCTTGCGCTTAATGTATCTGGAGTGAATTGAGCTAATGAGCTTTCGTTTTCAGCACATCTTTCGTACGATAAAATGACAATGAAATTAAAAAATATACAATATATATATATTGAAACGTAATCTCTCTCGGAAAATCCAAATCGACTGATACGCATTTTTGATTGGTAGTTTTTTTTTCTTCTTTGATAATAATCATTGCTCGCTGCTTATATTGCTTGCGCCTGAAATTAATGAGCAAGAATTCAGTTTGAGTTTTTAATCGAATACAGGCGCAGGGAATAGCGGTTTGTCACAATTCTTGATCATTTTTTAGCTAAAAATTTATCACCATAATACAAAAAAAATATTATCAAAATAAAAATCATTCATTCGAACAATTACTTTCGGCCGTCACGATTTGGAAACAATATAATTGCACTTTTGGTTTCATTGTATATTTCATTTCCATTTAAGCATTTGAAATCAAACTTCCTTTTCAGAACATTTTACTGAGTTTTCAGTAGAAATATGTCATTATAAGACTGATTATTGAGATTGAGAAATTAACACATGTTTTGGGTTTGAATGAGTTGCTGTGATAAGCGATAATATAAGTATATGCTGAGCATAGAACAAAGCACCCAATTTGAAGCTTATAAATTATTCGGAATATTGAAGAGCGCTTTCAAATGCAAACCGAAAACCTCAACTAATTTTGATTGGTCCGTTCATGTTGAGTATCTATTATAAAGGAAAATAGACCTACCAATTAAACAAAAACTATGAAAATTAACTGTGAATAAATAAATTGATACTGTAATAGTAACACTTGTATAATTGTTTGAAACACTCAAAAATTTACCACAAAATTTCAATCCAACGAATTTGGAATTTATTCACAAACACGTTTTAATTGTGAACACAACCAATGCACATTTGAATAAAAATAATTACAATTTCTATAAATGTTATACTAACTGAGTGATGTGAGTGTGTTTATTATTAGATTGAGAAAAGTAAAAATTTAAAAGTGAAATCAAAAAATCAAGTTGAAATTACAAGGAATATTTCCTTTTAAATAGCTGTAAAACGTTTGACATGTTATTTGATGGGGGCAATTCACTGAGTTTATGATTTTAAAGCGGCAGTCAATCAATACTGACAATACAATACACACATAATGATACATTATCAGTGAAATATCTCCCAATCCCCATTAATATGATTAAACGAAAGAACATTATCATGAAAAACAAAACATTTTCGACAATTGGACTTTGTCAGTGATAATCAGTGTAAAATTTGAAGGAATTATCGATGTACATTTAAATGTTATGTCGTAAATAAGATTAGTTAACTGTAGATATCGAGGTCAGATTTTAAGTAACCATTGACTCGGATTGAAATACATCGATTTTTTTATAAAGTCTATATTTTTTTATTCCGATTTTTTTTAATGATCACGATTCTTATTCCTTCTCTTTTTTTCTTCCTCAATAGAAAATAACCAATAATGCAGCATGGATCAACAGAATTTCTACTACGGAAAACACAATGCCGGCTCTCTGAATTATCAGACGGCTTTCGGCAATTCGGGATCCGAATATCAAGCAACAGATATCGGCGAGCACACCTCACTGCATCACTCGACCAGTTTAAATTTCAATAGCAGTTCCACAGCCACAAATAATGTATGCAGTGATTTATCAAATACACCATCAACGGTCGCCAATTTATCACGATCCACAAACAACAATTTGACCGCAAATCCATCAACAAATGAATACAATGCAGGGTCGTACAGTAGATTTTATTCGTACATTTCGGACAATACTGTACAAAATGTGTCATCAGCTTCGTCAAATACATCTGATTGTAATAACACCAAACACGTTAGTGCCTTTAGTAGTAAGTCATATGAAAATACAACGAACTCGGCGCATGTTCCAGTTATAGCTGTAACAAGTAATAGCTCACACGCAAGGGCCTATCATTCTAACATAAACTATGGATCATACAGTGCTGATTACCATAAGACTCTGAATCAAAATTATCCAAGTGGCTCGATTATACCATCACCGACAGCCCAAAATCGAACATCATTGAACTCAGCAACAGCATTCACACCGGTGGAGCATATTGTACAACCGACCGTAAAAAGAGTCAGTAATAATGTAAATAATAACGGTAAGATATCGGCAAAAACAAGTGTGATCAAACCAGTGAATGCATACAATGCAACCGCTTCGGTATCTTCAAACTCGCCGATCAATTACGCAAAATATGTTCAACCATATCCTATCTATGCGAACAACAATAAGACTGTATCCACTTTGGAAAAATCTCCTTCATCCGCAAACCGTGGAATGTATTTAAATAGTTCAACGAATCATAAAAACACAGAATTATATTGTCCAGAACCAATTTCGGCCGCCCGATATTCAAATCCAGCTTATGCAATTAATGTGAGCACACCTGGAAGTGGTCACACAAATTCACATTATTTAAGTGCGAATAGTTATCCGTTGAACTATGGCCATCATCCACATTATTTGACACAACATCAAAATAGTGTTTCGCATCATAGAAATTTCTTGCCCACACCTGCCTATCAAGCATCACTCGATGAAAGTGTAGCGTCCAATTATTTAAATCGACAAAATGTAGTAAGACCAACACCCTCAAATACGTACAAACAAGGTCAAATAACATATCAGAATCCGTACAGTTACGCACGAGGCAATATTGTGAATGCGGCAAGTGGAGTTAGTACGAATCATTCGAACAATAACCATCCTACGCTACCAAAGCCACAAACACAAAATCCTTTAGAAGATTCGTATTCACTGGCACATGATTTTGATAATGCATATGATCGACGAAATTTTCGTCAGTACAATTCGATGTACAGTTCAAATTATATTGATTCAACTGGCTTTGAAGAGTATACACAATATTCTTTCCCTTCGGCTCATTCGAGTTCGGTACCATTTTATTCGCCCAAAGCATCATCGAAGCAACTTCTGTACAATCACAATCCAGGTTTAAATGTGTACAATAATAATGCTACAGCACATGTACAATTGACATCGCAAACGTCACAATCAGTCTCTACGTCAGATGTAGCAACCACCTCAACGACGACCGTTGTTCAACAGCCTGTACCGATAAATCCAAGTTCCTCACAACTGATCTCAAGTAACTATGATGCGACCTCGATGCATGGAAACTCAATTTTACCATCGTCTTTGTTTAATAACAACAATAAGGAGCTTTGCCAGCCATCAAATCAATACCATCATCAGCAAAGTCCATACACATCGCAGATTTTGTATTCAAGACTCCAAAATGGTAATTACTATCCGTCAATGAAATCAAATCAGTCTGCTCACTTAGGAATGCATTCAAATGATGTGCACATTGTCCAAGATAAAGTGTGTTCAGAAAAACCTTTGCAAGCACAACCAAACAAATATAGTGTAATTGATCTCGAGGAACAAATCAATAGTTCGAAAATATCCAAAGTATCGGGAACAATGTTGTCAAATTCAACGTTACATCATCGTGTTAATGAGTTCGGACAAAAAATACCAGTGGTACATATACAGGGTGATCAACGACAACCAAAAGATAACGGCTCTAGTCAAAATGCAATCGAAAGCAATAAAAATTCCTACGTTTATAATAGTGAATCTTCGTACAATACCGACTGCTATCGGTTACAATATCAATGGAAAAAGTCTGTATCGTCGTCTTCATCGACAGCGACATCTACGTCATCATCATTATCATCAACCACAACGCATATGCATCCGAAAAAACAGAGCATTCGAGATTATCTATCTACATGGAATGAAGATGAAGATGGCGAAATAGATGCAACATCTAAAAAGGCGTCCAACAATCAAAACTTATATTTGGCTGCAAGGGAACCACCGCATTTGATAAATAGCATGATGCGTCTAGAAAAATCGAATAGGATAAACGAAAATGTGCCAGTAATTGTTCAGCCAGTTTTACAACCACCGCATAGTAATTTGTATTCATCAATGGCAATACCATGTCCTGGAGTTTCTATACTAAACAATGCATCAACGGTGCCACCAAAATTTCAAGTGGGCATCTGTATCGATAACGAAAGCCAAAACTTGCCCGATATTATTGTTGATATACCGAAACCCAAAGGAGACGACGAAGCGGAATCTTTTGAACGAGCAAATGGTAAGGGGATTTATTTTCTAGTTGTTGTTGTTAAAGACACGATTAAAGTATAAATTATTTTAATATTCCATTTAATTTTAGTAATTCAAGAAGTTCCAAAATCATCCGAAAAACTGTACATTCTTGATTCAATCGAAGTTCCACTGTCTGATCTCAATAAATACAGACATCTCAGTGTTGTGAATAGATTACCTGATAATATTGTACTACCACCGCCACCATTATCATCAACAAATCAATGCCATGAACATAATGTACCGAATGTAAATGTACCCGTTAAAATCGTCGGAGAACAGCATCTAATTCATAAGCCACAACTTACTAAAGATGAATTTGGTGAGAGAGATGCGAATGATAAAGATGTTCCTCAGGATATATTGACAGAAACGAGAAATACTTTGATTGTTAAAAAATTGTTGAAAAAGTATCGCAAACGAGATCAAATGCGTAATAAACAAAAACAAGCACTGGCATGCCAACAAGCTCCTTCAAATGAACATAATAGTGATTTATCGACACCATTGAGATCTTTATCACCAGCCCATGATTTTGATTCGGAAATGACAAGAGCTGTTGATCTGTCTGTGCATAGCAAAGAAATGACCGATGACCTTTCAGTGAACAGTAATGACAATATCAATGAATTTATTGGGGAATTTTCAATGTGTACCGATGATGGTGAATATGACCTTATCCCTAGTCCTTTGGCTGAAATACTGAAATTAACCGAACATCAGCCTTTGGAAGTTAACAGCAAAAATGATAGCGATTGTGAAATGGCGAAAAAACATATAGCAGGTACAGATAAAGTTAGTGATCATGAATGTACTGATAATGTAAAGGATGTTAAAAACGATGAAGGAATTGGAAACGTTGGAAATGTTATCGATTCCAAAATTGTTGAACCTATAGAAATTATTGAAATTGAAGAAGAGAACGAACAGGAAAAAGAATCAATAAAAAAAGAAGAAACAAAACAGGAAGAAACAAAAAAAGAAGCTGAAAAACAAGAAAATGGAGATGATAACATTCCACCAAAAAGTGACACTTATGCTGACATTTCAATCGATACGTTACAAAATTATTGTGTAAAAACTTTCAACACCAGAGAATTTCGTAGTTACTTCAAAGAAAATGTAATTAATACAACAGAAAACGATGAAATATCACCAGATTGCTCGACCACAAAAAATGAAAGTGAAGAGCCAAAGCATACGCATAGCAATAAAGTCGTAGATTCGAAGGACGATATTATCGTCATCGACACTGATGACGATGAAAATGATGATGAAATTCCAGAACTGGTGGAAGTGTGTACCAAAAATCCCAACCTGCTATTAAGTATACCAAGTCTATGTGCCTTAGCAAAACAAGCGGTACGATTAAATCAATTAAATATGTCATCAAATTTGAAACCAATTGTTAAAGAATTGGAATCAAAACGAAAAATTGTCGCTTTGGATATTGTACATGATACATGCGCCAACAAAGTACCAACACTTCAAGAGCTTGCACGTGAGGTAGCAAATACAATTTATTCGTTTAATGTAAAGCCACTTCAGGACATATGTAAATTAGCCATTGAGAAATTCAATCATCTTTATATGGTCAGTCAATTGGATACGCCAAGCACAGGTTATATATCCGAAATGAACGTTACGGAAAAAATCAACGAAACATTTGTTGAAGGTTTGTTTTATTGTGAACATTATTCTTATATTAAATTACTAAATAAAATCCGTTTTCATATTTTTCTAGCTTCCTCTGTCGATAAGCTACCACAAATTGAAGAGCAATCAGTTATTCAAAGGGCAAACTCAAATGGAACTCAATCATCTTTAAATATGACTGAAATCATGGATTATTCTTCAACTGAATCTCCGGTGAAATCTTTGAAAAATTTGGCCCAAATTTGCGTTGATGATTTGAAGAAATGCAATGAAACTGAAAATCAAACGAAAAACACCAATATTAAAAGCGATATAATTACGTGTAATTCAAGTGACTCCGAAACGGACACATCGTCCATAAGAAGTTCACAGAAAGGAGTTATTACGGGTGGCGCACGAAAAGTTAGCTCAAGTGAATCCCAATCAAGCAGTGAAAGTGAAAGTTCTAGTGATTCAAGTGATTCAGATGATAGCGACGACGACGAAACCGATGAAAATGATAATAGTGATTTCAATAAAACAAACAATGACACTAAACAAATAACTGATCAAGTAAATGAATTCACTGAAAGTATAAAAAGTAGCATAAAACAGCAAATTGTGGATGATTGGTCTAGTGAATCCAGCTCATGTGATGAAATTGTGGTCAACTCAATGGTTAATAAAATTGTTGAGCAAAATGAAAACAACGATTCATCTCCTATTGCAGAAAATGTAGCGAATCAAATGGAGGAAGTAGAGAAAATGAATGAAGTTGAAATATATAATCCAACAGCGCTGAAAGATATTTGTAAAGAAGTACTCAATGCTCATTCCATGATCATTCAATATGAAGTTCCAACGTTGAAATGTTTATGTGAACATACTTTGGCCACCGCTGGAATGGAAATTCCATTGATTTGTTTTGTTCCCGAAGAAGAGTTTATGACTGAAGATCAAAGTTCAAACGATGATGATGGTGTATATTTGTGCTTGGATGGTGAGTTTGATGAAAGAGAGCTAGCAAATCTATTCAATGGTGATTCAATCGATATGCATACACTTGAAACAAAAGAATGTGCCACAGATAATTCCAGTTTCCGTGATCAATGTGTTGCATTGCAAAATATTCTCTCCTCACCGTTACCCGAAGATAATCAATTAAACGAATCGATCGAAATTCAATCAGATGAATTTTATGTAGACCCAAATGGATTTTATGATAGCATTCAGTATGAGGAAACCGTTTTGCAGTCTGAAAATCAAGAAGATTCGGCTGCTGCAATCGCAAAATTAAAAAAATATTTACAAAACAAATACGTTCATCCGTTCAGCTATCATAAAATGTTTGCTATAAATAAGCTATTGAGAAAATATAAAGTATATCAAGTGTCTTTTTGCAATAAAAAATCAAGTGTACAAGAAAAGGTGCAGAAAAAACTTTCGAAATTGCGTCAACAAGCCGAACAACGTTGTAAACCAAAGAAACTTGCGACACGTCGTTCGGCCCGTATCGCTGACAAAATCAAACAGAAAATTGATGAAACGGATTATATAGGGAAAAAATCGAAAAGCACAAAGAATGAAAACACAAAAGTTGATTCATTGGAAAGAAGACATGTTTGTAAAATAGTGAACGTAAACGAATTAATTCAAAATTCCGGAAAAAAGAGAAAAATCACTGAGACTGATAAGGAATCAATTACGCGCGATCTTTTAAAATTAATTGCAAAGAAACGTACATTGAAACGTAAACTATCGATTTGTCAACGGCCAAAATTCACCCTTGATGATGATGGATATTGTTACGATGAAGATGGCCAAATTAGTGAAATGCTGAGTTCTTTCATAAACAATAGCATCGATGAGGAACGCTCTGAATTATCGAATGTAAAAAAGCCACGTTCACGTAAACCATCCATTGAAAGCAAATCATCCAAAGAGCACGGAATCAAAAAGAAAACAGTACCGCCAATTACATTGAAAAAACAGTTCATCACTGAATACAAGGGAAAAGCGAAAAAACCGAAATCAAAAACAAAGAATTCAATAAAAGGAATAACAAATGAACCAAAAGAGAAACCGTTGGCACTGACTGAAACGTTTGCTGTAAATAAGACTGAAAAGAAGCGTATTTCGCCTGGTACAACACTTACATTCCCCACAAAGGCATCGGTAAAGGAAATAATTCCCGCAAAGAGAACACGATTCTTATCGATCGACAGTTCTTTAATGCGATACGGTACAGAATCGAAGCGGTCATACAACCAAATGAAATCATTAAAAGAAAATTCAGAATCTCTCGAAATTGTCAAAAGAAAAGTTACAACACCAAAACTGTTGAAGTCAAATAATATCGATGTGGCTACGATGAATAAAGATGCTCAAAAGTCAACAAGAATCAAAGAAAAACCTGTCACATTACCGGAATGTAAGAAATCCAATCCCGAAGTCCTAAAAGAAATTCTCAAGTCATCGTTAAAATGTGTGCAATCCGAAAAAATCCAAAATAATACGATAAAATATAAAATCCCGACTAAGGTCAAAGTCCACAATGAAGTGAATGAAATACAAACAACGAAACAAATGGAAAACGTCAAGGAATCACATGCAGAAGTTTTACCCGAAATATCAACCACGAATATGAAAACCCTTGAAGAGCCCATTCCTAAAAATGCAAAGGAAAATAACAGATTGCCTAAACGAACACGTTTTTCCGATCGAATTCAGTCACTGTCACAAGATCAATCACCTTACTTGAATGAAACCAAAGTGGAAAAGGATCAATCGAATTTCAAAGCTGCTGATTCCACAGAAAATGTTATGGATAATAATAAATTTTCAATTAAAAATCAAGAAAAACCACTATCAGAAAGAAGCCTGTGTTCAACGATGGTATCTCCACTAAAAATTATCATAGAACCAAAACGATTCCAATCACCATCACCACCAAAGAATGAATATGCTTCTGTCAAAGACCCATTGGCAATAAATAAAACCAACGAGGAGCTTGGCCCACAAAATGCGGATTCCACCACAATAAAACCGATTGTGGAAAAGAAAGAAGTTCAAAGAAAAACACGATTCTCGGATAGAATTACAAATTCAGTTGTAAAGCCATTGGTCATTGGTAGTGAAAATACCCAGTCACCTTCTATTCAAATTGAACCGTCTATGCCATTAATATCAGAGAATAATGATAAAAAATCACCAGAGAAAAATGTGATAAGACCCAACAGAGAGACTGACATAAGAGAGTCAACACCAACTCAAGAGCAACAAATATTGTTTACAAAACCAGATATGAATGCAACGATTAAGCCGCTTATAGATATCGAACAGCTTTTGCCATCAACGAAAATTCTACAACCGAAACCAGGGAGGCGGTGCTTGGCGAGAGCTCAAACAATATCACATTCAGTATCTCCATTGAATAACAATAATACTTATGAACCTATGCAATTGCGTTCATCCAACAGCTACTGGAGCCGGAGAAGATTTGATCAACCAAGAAACTATGACATCAAACAATATCAACGAAATTTCCCTTATAAACCAAAAGAATTTCCGTCTGCTTTGTATAAAGAAAAGCTAACATCAACAACAAATTCCAATTCGCCACCCAAAACAATGGTTTATTCACAAATGGCCATAAATAATACGTCAAAAAACATTCCACCACCGTTGCAAAAAAAACCAATTGACATATCGTCATTTCCTGATCCTGAAACACTTCAAATACCATCTCTTGATTTACGCATGTCACCTTTTGGTCGTTCTCCTTTAACATTATCAATACCGAAACCAATGGCGATGCAAGATAACAAAGAAATAGCAACAGGTATTTTTTTTTTGCTAAACATTACATATATTTTTCGATTCCAACTTAATAATTTATGGTTTTCCATTTTGTGTTTTAGCATCCAATTCTGAACCCAAAAGAACTGAACTAAATAAATTCGTTTCAGACTACAGTAAATTTGATATTCCACCATCTGATCCTCGTCAAACTTCCACCGATGTTGAACGAAAATCACCTGCATTTGCGACAAACCATTCGACAAGCACGCCTTTTAGTTCGCCATCAAACACTTCGCCGAAAATTCCAATCAGTATACAAAAGAGTATACCATCAAATATACTGTCGAATGTGCTTAAAAGTTTTTCACCAAACAATTTTTCACCAAAAAGTCTGTCACCAAGTATATCATTGAATTTACCATCGACTCCGGTATTATCGTCACCATCAAACTCCGTTCTATCAAGAGTGAATCTGCCATCGTCTAATAAATCACCGTTAATCAATATACAATCTTTGAATATACCATCACCAAACGTACCATCATCGGGAAATGTAACACCAAACATATCGGCGCCGTCTGAAATGAATACCATTCCATTAGAACTAGATCGTGTTGTAACACAACAACGTAAAATACGTGAAATGCAACGTCGCAATAGCCTTTGCGTTGCAGAAATCAGTAGCTACCAACGTAATATTCTCAGTAAATTTGCAAATAGCATCAAACATAAAAAATTGAAAGTCGAAGATATTTTAAAGAAAATTTATAATAAACAACCATCGCCAAGTTCGACCTCATCAAGCAGCAGTGATTCGGATAGTTCTAACTCGAATTCAAGTGAATCAGTTAGCAGTAGTAGTTCTAGTTCATGCAGTTCAAAGAAAAAATCACGTCGATATCATAAAAAGAAGCGTTCACATAAACGTAATTCAAATTCCGATGATAGCAGTACGGAATCAAGCAGTTCGTCTAGTTCATCGTCATCATCAACGCGGCATGGAATAAAGCGTTCAAAACGTTATCGAAAATCGACAAGAAAATCAACCAACCAGATAAATGATAGTCGAAGAAAACCTACCCCAAAACCAATGTTTGACATTGAAACAATCAAACAAAATGCATTGATGGGATGCGTCATGCACGAGGAATTGTTAAGAAATAAATTGAATCAAATGTCATCCTATTCGAGCATTGCACCCAATGAAAGCAGTTGTGCTCAAGCATATATGCAGCAAAGTCAAAATACATCAATACTATCGTCGGATGCACCGCTAGACATGGGCCATACGATAAAAAATCCTTATGTTAAACTACAACGAAACACCAACATCGAAAATATGGCCGAAAATTATGCACATGAGCAACAACAAAATACTAATAACAACAACACTTCAACAAGGTACAAGCAAAAACGTTTCGAATAAATTAAAAATCAATAACATCGGTAAATTTAGCATTTGAATTCAGTAAATGTGAAAAGATGAACTTTTGATACCAAAAATATTGTGGATATTAGTTTAAAATGACATTTGAATATTAGGTCGCCAAATACAGAAAATTCTTGCGACAGATCACGAACAGAGCTGCACAGTAATTTGTGATATTCACACTGTAATTGTTGTTCAATACCGTTCGCATTCCATTCATTTGATGAATTCATTGGAAATAAACTACATTTGGGAAAATTTCCATTTTTTTTCTTCTTCAAATCATTTAGTATGATAAAAATGGTATAGAAACAAAAATTATATATATTTCATTTTGAACGATGTATGTATGTGTGTAGCATCTGTTTTTGAAATGAGTTGCGAATTCAAGGCAATTCGTGTAATCACTTTGATCATATAATATATTATAGTAAGTAGTACACACAAGCCAAATACTGTTGGCCCAATTTGACTGGCATGTGCTTTCAATTTTATGTACGCTTTCAAAGTTTTGAGTTCTGTGGTTCAGGTTACGTAACCACAGAATTTTTAATCGTTTACATTTTTCTAATGGATTAAAATTTAAAAGGAAAAATTATCAACTTAGCCCTATAATTATAGCAATACAAAATATTAGAATAAAACGATACGGATTTTTTTTTTTGTAAATTGGCTTTAATTCAAGCTTTCCTTAGTTACAGCTTTAAGGAGTGAAAACAGGTATTTATTCATAATTTATAAGTTTTTACTTCGAAATAGTTTATATGGATTTAGCAAAGAAAATGTTGTTGAAAAATAGATAGAGCTTGTAATAAATGGAAATAAATATTTTAATATCATTTTGAATAAGTAAAAAGTAAGACGGAAGAAATCATTAGGGTTTTTGTGAAATGTAGACGATTTTTTTAATAGAAATATTTTTAAAAAGTTTGCTTTATGTTTAGAGTTTCATAAACATTAAACATACTGATGTGAAGTAATATATGGAATGGCCGAGACAGACACACGATTACTTTTATGTCAGCGTGTTCTCAAAGTACAAATTTTTAATACAGACTTTTCTAAAAAAGATCACTAATACAATGGAATTCAATTTATAAGTCCAAAATGAAATTTGTACATAAACCAAATCATAGTCAATCAAATCAGAATTGCAAAATACAGATTTAAATGAAATAATTATTTGATATTAAGACATATAAGAAAATTGCAAAGTGCCTATTACCAAAAAAAAAGACATCATTTAATAGAATTGTGACATTTATTATTATTCTTATTGCAAGTTATCAATTGTGCCGTGTGCCCAATCCAATAATATTGGAGTGTTAAATAATGTAATTAAAAACGATTTAAAATAAAAAAAAAACATATTTAAATTGAAGTTATCATAACATCGATGTTGAAAAGAATTTTGTTTAATTTGTGGTTGTTATTTCTTTTTTTCTCACCAGTTTCTTGTGATTTTTATATCCTTATGATCACTTGATGTGATTCACATCAGTCAATCATCCATATTAAGATCAGTATAAGCTAATTAAACTACTAATTCACTGGTGCATTTTTATTGTAAGTCAAAAAAAATTGTATCATCACACAATTTTATAACCAATATTTTGAAAAATTATTATTAAAAATGTAAATAAAATAGAAAAATTAAAATTTATGCAAACAAAAAATAATTTAAACGCAGTGTATTCTGTTTTCTACAAAATGAGCGAAATGATTTTTATTTACCATATTTTTGTAGATGGAAAAATATAATTGAGAATAATAATGAATAAAAGAACGATTCAAAGTAAGTAAATATGAAAAACTAGAAAAAATATTCATAATCAAACACCCAAAGCAACACTCGTTGATGTGATTGAATTTATGCTACTGTTGTTGTTATTGGGAGAGCATGCTTGACGAATAGACATTTCCCAGGTATCCAAAATATGTGATAATGAATACAAAGAGGGCATTTTTAGCATTCGAGCCGAGAATATCTTTTGAATGGAATCCAAAAATTGTGTGGCACTCATTTCGTCAAGAAGTGTACAAGAAGGCGAAGTCTCAGGATAGTCTTCAGGAATATCAATATACAGTGGTGGTATACATGGTAGGTACGGATCATCGTTCAAATAGCAAATTAACTTCAAAATTTTCGATCCACTCTGAACGGACGAATCCAATGTAATTTTGAATTTTCGATCAAGTCTGGCAATTTCACCTTGCAATACATGGGGTACTTCGTTTGACGTATTGCTTATTTGCTTAGTATCATTCGATGAAGTGCGAGCATATTTAGTTTGAGGCAAATTTTTTATATCAGGACCAAAGAGGGATTCAATGCACGGCCTGAATGTTCTTTGCAATGTATGATTGCCTATAGGACTCTGCAAATTTGCACTAACCGCATCCAAAAGAGCATTGTTGACATTGTGTTCCTTTGATCCACTGGGAAAGTTTGTTGCGTTTGATGCCATTGAGTACGATTTAAGATCCATTTTTTCAAGAGCAGCTTCACATTTTATTAATGTTTCCAATGGTATGCGTTGATTTGGATTGCACAAAATTTCAAGCAATTTATTCATTTTCAATAGCTTTTCATCATCGCTTCCCATACGATTCATCATTTTCTTCAGAGGCTCAATATATTTAGTTAGTTGTCGATATTTTTCACGATACAAATGCTCTTCTTGTGGATTTAATGGGCTGGGTGCTGCATTCGCTTGGCCAGGTGTATTCAAATTTGTGTTACTTGGCGATGGTGCCATAACTACAAAAAAAAATGTAAACAGTTATCATTAGAATGATTTTTAAACTCAAAATTGAAAAATTTAACGCACCAGTTCTTTGTGACATGATATTTGGAACAACTTGTGGTGATGGTACTAAGGGACTCGGAACCATTTGATTAGGTAAACTATTTCCCATTGGCGATGGAATTGATGGACTTGGACTTTTTCTGAAAAACGATTGATTTGGTGTTGGATTTCGAACTAGAAGCAAAATAAAAATAGATGTAAGTATTGTGAAGGTAATATTGCATAAATTTTGAAATCTGAAGATAATTTACTGCCTTGGTATAGATTGGCTGGCTGATTGCGGGCCATATGTGGCATATTTATCATCTGATTCATCTGATTCATTTGGTTTGCGGCTTGTAGCTGAGCTGGTCCTCCGCTTGTATTCGGCACACTGACATTCGGTACGCTTACATTTGGTCCCGTTGAGACGTTGGGCGGTGCATTTTGAACACTCTGGACATTCGAAACAACGTTCGGCTGGTTTATGTTCGAAGGCATATTCGGATTCGACATCATTTGTGCATTGATTTGAGTCTATAAAAGGAACAACGAAAAATCATTTTTATAATGTGTCTACGTCAAATTTTCAATAAATGTGATAAATACCATTTGTGCTTGGTTCATTTGATTTCCCACATTCGATGAATTTTGCTGAACGATATTTTGCACGGAATTTATACGGTTTAACATTTGAGACATTTGATTTGGATTGATTTGTTGATTCAAATTAGATGCATTCATTTGATTCTGTGGCATTGTTGGATTTATATTCATTGGTATGTTCATATTGTTCATAGAGTTCATTTGTCCGGTTTGTAGTTGGTTCATTTGCATTTGATTCATTTGGCCAACCATGTTGTTGCCTGCTATCTGATTCGGTTGATTTGATGTTCCCATATTCATGTTCATGTTGTTGGAATTCATGGCATTTATAGCATTGGGCATCGCGTTTCCCATTGTATTGGCCATTGAATTCGGAACAGCGCCTCGGATATTTGGCATGGATTGCATTTGGGCTTGTCCAGCCCGTTGCTAAAATTGATAAATCTTTTTGAAATATATTATTTTAAATTCCTAATTATATTTAAACTTACGTTTATGAGATTTTGCAATGCGTTCGGATTTGTATTATTACCCATTTGCATTTGATTACCCCCCATAGCCATCATTTGTCCGGGCATTGGGTTTCGCGTTCCCTGATTAGTTAAATGTTGCAATGCATTTATTGGATCCATGGTTTCTGATTGTTGCTTTTTGTTTTTCTGGCCTTTATTAGAGTGATGAAAAGACAAACATTTTATTAAATTACATTTCGCCGAACGAATGGACATTAGTTTGACTAACTTTGCATATGCAAAACAATTTTTGCAACCATATTGCGATATTCGTCGTGCGATGAAGCTTTTTGAAACACTTGATTTTCCATTTCACTAGCGCTTTTCATAATACCAACATTTTGTAATGCTTCATTTCTACACAAGAAAGATACACGGAAGAAGAGAAAAAAGAAAGAAAATTCATTAACTCCATATTTCAAACACGTTTAACTTTTTCTAAATCCTATAATATTACATTTTTTCCACCACATTCTGTCGATACGTTGGCGACCGCCAATCTACTGATGAGTTGTCCATAGCAACGATTTTTTTAAATTCTTTTTTATAAAAAAAAAAAAAAACAAAGAAAAACTGATAACTTAATCTCTTGTTGATAGCAATAAAAAATAATTCGAGAGACTTTTTTCATTGGCTTCCATTAAACGTCAACAATCTAATGTTCGTAAGTTCCGGAAGAGGGCATTGTAACTGAAAATATTACAATCGAAAAAAGCGGGTAATATAAAAAGTACGTTGAAAGTGCTGAATGTCTAGCTGTTATTTACATCAAGTATAGTAATTACATTCATTGTCAGTTTTCTTATGTTTTATATTTAAATGAAAAAAAAAAACACTCCAAATCAAAATAATTTTAATTCTTTAATTTTTACGGTTTTATTTCATGTTTTATGAGAAATTTTTTTGATTACATTATATCAAATTTATCACAGATACTTACTACAAGAAATATATTATTACACAGTTATAATACGATTTTTTTTTCTCAGTAAAAATCTAACAACTAAATATCAAGTACATAAATCTTCTTTTTTAAAATAATGTTAAGTTGATAAATTGCGAAAAGCAAATTGGTCCTATGCATGTACATTATAATAGTAATAGTAAAAATAATAAACGAAAACATATGATTGAGAATCAACAGAGTCATAATTTTCTAGTATATGATAGAATAACTATTTATGGGCTTAATATTGATTAAGTTGAAAAACTTTTTGTTTCTTCTACAAAAAAAGAAAGAATCCTTCGAGGTGCAAATAGAAATGTTTCTTAACTAATTTGTATGTATGTGTGTGTGTGTGTGTGTGTGTGATTGAAGTCGCGATTTTGGGAATGCCTTCTTGTGTTTTATTTATTGTAATAGAATTTTAACGGCTTGAATTTTTTGTGTAGTTGGCACAATCGGCCGTAATGCGCCCGAATGAGTTTTCTTTGCATGCCGTTTGACATGTTTTGACAAGTGATCGCTTCTCATGAAAGGTTTTTGACACACGGGGCACACAAATTTCTTTTCGCCTGGATAAAAAAATATAAATAATATTTAATATAATTTTTTGATTATATAAAAATATATTTTTTACTCTTTCGTAAAGAGTCTTAACCTACCTGTGTGAGTACGCTGGATGTAGTTAATGAAAAAAAAAAATATTATTATAAGTTAAAGAAATTGTTGAAATGAATAAAATAAATATACCTTGTGTCTTGATAGTTCATCGGATCGACTAAAACGTCGTTCGCATCCATCCCACCTACAGCAAAATGGTTTTTCACCTGTATGAATGCGTTGATGTGCCTTCAAATGACTTGATTTAAAATAGTTTTTGCCACAATTTGGATAGTTGCATTCATAAACCCGACGGCGTTCGGGTACTGGGTTTGTTGTAATGACTGGCTTTGTCGGTACAGTGACAATTTGTGTGGCAGTGACAATTTGTTGACTCGCGGAATTTAAAATTATGAATCCTCCGTTTGATAGAATTTCACCCGGATTGGCAGCAATATAAAAGCCATGCGGTAGTTTTGGGGCAATGGCTGGCAAGTGAGTAGTGGTATTTCGAACTTGCGGTTGTACCGTTGCAATTGGTGTATTTTTGCATGGAATTGGACTACTCTTCTCCACAATCGTAACATTTCTTTGTTTAATTTTTGATGTTTTGACTCTTGCTACATTTGAATACTCCTCGTTCGCACTATGTTCACAATGCGAAACGGTGTCTTCAATATCTTTTTCAGACAGTTTTCTGCCCATCTTATATTTGACGCTGCGTAATAAATTCGTTTCATTTGGCGAATCGACGCAATACACACCATTTGATGTTGCACGCATAATAACACTTGGCCGTTGCTGTTGAAGGTTTTGAGCAGCTTGTGATATGACATTTTGATCGCTTGATTTTAACTGATTGTCAGAAAATATAAATGACGACGATGCATTCGACTCGTTGTCTGACTCCGATTGGGGTGGTGTATTGGCCATGGATATATTGAACTGATCTCGGGCACACAATCGCTTACGAGGCGGTAAATCCGATTCATCTTCAGAGTCCGATGGATTTGGTGTTATCAAAAACTTTGAAGATGGTTGCGAATTGAAAATTTTCAGGAAATTACGCTTCAAGCTATTTACATCGTCATTCTAATAGAAAAAAAAAACAAGACAAAAAATTTAATAAAAGTCAACAAATTTCCTGTTTAGAATTAAACAAAATAAAAAAAACAGAAACGCAATCAAGTAAATCTATATATAGAACATATTGTTGCAACATTAGTTCAAGTATTATGTGTCACAAAGTCAGCGGCCGTTATCTCAATTTTTGAATAACAAGATGTAGCGTAAATGACTTAATCTATTAGATAGATTCTGTTTCACTTGCAACGTAATTTAATCGAAAGTACTACTACTAGCTAGTGAGTGAAACTTTGTATTGGTCGCACTAAAAGTGAGTGAAATTTTATGATGGATTGCGACAGCTGACGCAATTACTACAATTGCTTTTTTGTATTGATGTATGGACATGTACATTTTTAGAATAACAAATATGCACTAGACACGCACCATAAATAGAAGACATTTATGAGTGGGTGATTTGAAAATTTTTCCATAAACAAAGTGTTATCAATCGCGTTACATGCGTAATGTGCTATTTCATCAATGAAATGTTGAATGGATGTTTGTTCCGCGCACGATGCAATCATGTATCGTTCGCTACCTTTTTACATTTTTCGAGAACACAAAATTTTATTGCGCTATCTTTTGCTTGGTATATTCTGTCTTTTGTATTGCCGATTATTATGAGTGCGCAAAATCATCGAATATTAAAATCGTCACACGTTCGGCGAGTGTAAATATCGGCATCGAATTCGTGTAGTAGAATAATACAATGTAGACGATTTTATATGTGAATCCCGTACCGATAAAAACGTCATACAAACAACATCGCCCAACGAATTAAAGAAAAAAAAAAACATTTCAAAAACAAAAATGACACAATCATGAAGAATAAAAAGAGAAAAGAGAAATAAAACAACAACAACAAGTCTATTAACGTATGAGGCGAAATTTTAGTGTATCGCATTAGCACTCGTGTATTGGCACATACGTCAACACAAGTCTGCGCTCTTACGTCTGTGAATGTATTATACTGAATGGGAGCGCACGCTAGCCAGCTACAAGCACGGCGACAACGATATGGAAAATCAGTAGGAATGTTTACAAAGTGTTCACGTGAACACCAGCTGATCGACGAATGAACAGTGCGTGATACAAGCATGAGTCTAAAGTGCAAACAGAAGAACGACGCGCAAGCGGTTGTTTTTGTTTGGAAAATTGCACGAGTCGCTTATGAGTAGCGAAATAGGTGGACGATTTCTTCCGTCTTTTTTTTGTTGCTGAATTTATATTAGGAAGCTGTTTATCGTTATCTATCATTTTTTTTTTTTTGCTGGATATTGATGCGATTATGTCTAGCCATATATTTATATTTACGGTATTTAATCAAGAGGTAATAGATCCCGCAAATGAAAACGTAATTTCAAGGAAGATTTTTTTTTGTGCAATGAATTTTTTCTGTTCGATTCAGGTCATTTCATTGCTACTCTCAACGCTGTGTATTTATTTATATTTGAACATTACTATGGGTCGATAAAAAGGAATACCCTTTGTCATGTAGGTCGTGCAATTTGCATCTCACACTATTTTTAGTTATTATAGGCATGATTGACTCACCTTGCTTTCTTGTTCAAGCGGTGGAGTAGCTGGCGGTGATAGTAAACTTAATTCGGGCTCCATTTTTTATAGTATTTGATTAAAATTTAATTTTTATCCAAACAGAACACAAGAAAATTATTTTTCTTTTAAATTGTCCTTTGCAATTCTTAAAATTGTAATAATCAATAGAAATCTTTCAAATTTCTCGTTAAATTGTTCTTAAATAGTTTTCTTTTAATGTCTTGATTTTTGTCACTTTTTCTGAATAACAAATGCAGAAAAAAAATATGTTGAATTTTGCTAAGCACAGACACTATACATTCGTTCTGATCCACTGCAAACTTTTGAATAATGCTTTACCTCTTCTGGTGCTAATGTACGACACACCGAATTCTCGCTTGCTGACTCAAAACAAAATAAAAATAAAAAAACGACCACATACACATACATATATTCCGCACTCCGTTTGTGATGGCTGACAACGTTGCGCATTGTATTCATATGCCCCGTTTGAACAGGGTGCTCTCTAGCATTGGATGTCAATGACGACATATTAATTCAAATTTCGAAGATTATAATTTCGTTTGTTTTCTCTGGTGAATTTCCATTTTACAAACACACATATGTCATTTTCATAGAGAAACCAGCTAAATGACACAAACATAGATCTTTGGGCTCACCCGATAAAATACAGTATGTATGCGGTGGCCAAACTATACATACAAAACGATAGCTGCCTCTAAATCGTTTTGTATGGAAGCGGAATACAGATAAACACAGTGATTTTAATGAGCAAATCAAAAGCGCGACAATGATGAAATGATGAAAACAAGGAATTCTACGTATAAACCAAGTCACGAAATCATCACTGGCACAAATCGTGCACGATGAATGCGTAAGCAAGCCAATGAAATACCGATGAAATACGGAGGCACGGTTGTTTGTTGCTATTTTTCGATATGTTTGTGTATACAGTTTTATCGCGCGTGTGTGCCATGTTTTCGCTTGTAAAGCCATTTAAAATGCGGTGCGCACTACATATCATGCACTGACCTCATGCATTCACTTTTAGTAGCACGTGAACATGAGCTGCATGACTAGAGCCAAGTAAAATATGAAATGAATCAACAAAACAAAGACTCACAAACCGATTCTACTATACATTTTATAGCGCGAATACGAAATAGTCTATTGAATATAGGCAACATAGGAGACGCGTATATACAAAAAAAAAACGTAAAATAACATTTGAATGACTTATTATTGAACGACAGCGACGACCATCGGCTAATTCGCAGTTATTCGATATAATAGAGGAACATGTATTTTTAGAACAACTTAATATTATCTCCCTGACGTAAGATTAGCAATATTCCAGGAGGTGTGTAGCACTTTTTGTCGATCACAGCGAGTTGAAGTTGAAAATTGCATCGTTTGCGATCTGACAAAAAATTTATTTATTCAATTATCATTGTAACACAATTTCCTATTGAGGCTCATATCTAGTGTGAAAAATATTATCAGTTTGGACTACACCCAGTTCGACACGTTCGAATCGAGCGCAAAACATTTTTTTCCACATCGAGCGACTACTCACTGTATTTTTCTTTTACGCCGATGCAGATTCATTGTGATCTTAATTATTATTACAAATGTCGTCGTTTTTATAATCGCAAATGTGCTGTTTTTATACTTGAATGGATTTAATGCGACTCCAATGAACTGCCATTTTTGCATACAGACTATTATCAGCGTGATAATTAAACATGTGGCCAGTGACTGATTCGCGTTGAGTGTAAATATTTATACTTCTGAACGCCTAGTGCCTGCACACTACACACCTTCGCCATTCCTCTGTTCGGTGGACTTTGCCTCCACAGTCAACTAAAGTATAATTTGTGTTGATATTATTACGAATAGTAACACACTTCGTGCATACGTCTGTCGCATTGATTAAAAATAACGCAATGCATCTAGAACAAAAAAATACAATATTAATCGGTACTACATGAAATATCATTATAGACAAAACATTTGATGAAATTCTTAACGGCGTTTCGAATCGAATCGCTTTCAATTGATTCAGCCGAAAAACTTTATTTTTATACTTGAACTTTTTATTTTTGGCCGCAATTAGTCTAACTTTTTTTCTAGCTACAGCAATTGTAAGTGCACAAATACGGCGTGACCTCCTTTACAATTAAATATTTCTAGGTATATTACGGCCACAATTTTTCTTTAAATTTAGCTTCGATTTATTTTTAGTTAGACGACTCAATAACCTTTTATATTTTAACTAGTAGAATAATTGGCTTTTCCCCCCGAAGAAAGAAAAAAAGAAAAGTGCCGAATTTGTTGTTTCGTTTGAATCGCAACCGATTATTTTTGAATTAAATACATAAACAAAATGTATTTTGAAAGGAAATTATAATTAAGGACAATTTTTAGATTTTTCAAATTTCTCAAAATTAGAGTAAATAATAGAGATCTTAGCTTGTTTTATTTAAAGAATATTTATTTATTTAAATGTGTAAATAATGAAATTAAAGTTTGTAATAAAATATATGAAAAAAAAATTGAATTCAAAACAATGAATTTACAACATTCGTTCAACAAATTCTCAAGAGATGGTGACACAGACGCATTTTAAAGGAATTAAAAAAATGTATTAACACGCAAGATCAAAGAACAAAATCTATATTTCACCAATTTATGGTTAAATAAGATGTTAAACTTAAACCACTTATTTATAATAAGCAAAAAAATATCTGAATTTTAGCAATTTAAGTTTTCAATTGAAATTCAAATGAAAAATATTATGATTCATTCACAATGGAAGACCCTCATATGATCGAAAATCATTTTCGCACCACTGTGAATAAATGAAATAAAATTGACGTCCATAATTTACAGTGTATTGTGCCGACAACATACATTTGCGCAACTCTCGTATTGTCAATTCGGTGGCATATGTCAACAATGCCTAAAGAACATGCATTCACTCTGTACACAATCACACACATACACACATATCTATATATGTAGTGTACGCTGTACGATGTACATATGCAGGCCGTAAATCAACGCGACACATAGAGAGTGAGAGACTGTTGGAGTAAAACGTAAGTCTGTCTACTGCCATACTCAAAACAACGGCCTCACTGTACACAAAACACACGAAAGCCAAACAAGACGGTAGACGGTTAAATGCTTACAATAATTCCATTAGTCAGCAACGATAGTTGTAACAGGAAAGTAGGAAAGTTGACCTGCTCCTTTTCTCTCTATATCTGTCCATTTCATTTTGACGTACAATTTCAAAATAATTTTTTTATCAGTTGTAAATAAAACCGCAATTTTCCGGATAAATAAACTATTGGATTTATATTAAATTCGAATTTGCGTTAAAATTATACTATAATTGATTGAATTATTTGCCAATCCAAACAAAAAATCAAAATCACCGAAATTAACTTTACATTTTTGTTTGACAAGATATTAACTGATTTTAATTTAAAAAAGTTTTTGGAATTGAATAAAAGTTTTTTAACAATATTCGGGTGTAAAAATACAAAAGTGTAAAAATTTCCGTAAAATATTTACTTTTTTCGATTTATCAGATTATTTTTTTTTTATTATTGAAAACAATTTTGGGAGTTTGCAATGAAATTCAATTGAAAAATGAAATCAAGTGAATCGTTTTCTATACGAACGCCATTTGTAGCAGTTATTGAACAATAATAGTGTTTGCGATAGTGAAAACGTGATTTATTTCGGAGTGTGTAACAACAGTATAAAAGAAATAACAAAAAGAAAACCAGTTGCATGAAAAAAGCGATAAATTTATTGACACACAACTTAAAAATGCATATAATAATTCCGTTCTTATATCATTAACGTCGTTCTAAAAATTTCAAAAGAGCCAATATGCACATGCATAAGAATCGGTACTGATTTATTTAAGAATTAATGTTAACGTAAACATCAGCCAGCGGTGAATATAATTGTTTTTGTTTTTGTCATTATGAGACGTTATTTGATGCTGAGATTTTCGAAGCGTGATTTTGTGCACAGATTTAGAAGTCAAGATAAATAAACGTAATAAATATTTGTTATCATTGTTATTGAATGTCGCCTTCGATTTCAACTTGGAATCGCTAAACGCGATCAACAAACATAAACACAATAAATCAGCTAAATGACCAAAGGTAGCAAGTCGCTTTTTTCTCAACACGACACATAGACTGGCTTGGTTTATTTTGATTTAAAATTGAATCGTTAAAACACTGTATTAAGCAAATAAAAACTAAAATCGCACACCCTCAGAAATCAAATGAAAGCAGAACAAAATTCAACCGTAAATCAATTCTAAAATTAGATGAGTTTTTCTAGTGTACAGCATAATGTCCCGAAGGAAACAATCAAATCCAAAACCACTGCTAAAAAGTAAGTAAATCAATTTTTTACTCATAATCTTTCATAGATGAACCGTTAAAAATAAAAACTTATAATTCCAACTAGAAGTCATCAACATTTCCATTTTAGCACTTTTATTTTGATGAAATAAACAGAAAAAAATCATCATTATTCCATGATTCGGAGAAACTGAGACACACTTTGAATTTTCGTTATACATTTTTTTTTGGTTTTTTTTTACAATGAACATGTTATCCGGCATAAGATCTCCACCATCTCTCTATACTTTGAAAATGAATTTACGAGAAAACGATGTCAGAGTCTGAAGCAACACAAAATATACATTTGATATTGAACGCGCAGAAGATCTTGATAAGGCATTTGATTTTGAAAATATGATTACATATGCGACACAGAGAGCATTGCGAGTTGCATGTCATCCAGATACGATAGAGTAAATGTGCCCGAGCCTATGATCGCTAAAGAGTATTACAAAGAAATCCAAAACGATTTTAAAGTTGATATGAATAATATCTGTAATAAATATTTGTGCATTGAGGATGCCAACGAAGATTTTGAAATAAAACTTCAAGCCAAATTCATCTTTTTTTTTTCGTTGTTCAACGATAAAACACACATGCCTACAATGTAACAAGCTTCGAGAGAAGCAAAGCAAAGCAATACAAAACGAAAAAGAAATAATCATTTTAATGTGTACAAGTTTGATTTGTTCATTGATACCATGAGGTTTTTTCGCTGTCTCTGTTCACTTACAAAGTTGTACTGGGCTTAAAAACGTGCATATATACACATAACGCGTAAATTTGTTCGCGCAATCCGATCCACGAATGATGTGTGTATGTGGCTAAGAAGCGAATGAAAAAAAGTACACCGCACAAAAGCTAAAAACGAATATAAAAGCGGTGTAAACGATGGAAAGAGAAGCATACACACATTTCTCGGTAAAATATCGCTCTGCGATCTGTGATTGATACAAAATGATAAGAAACAATAAATTTCAAAACGAAATAACAATGCGTTGTTATGTGCTATTATCTTATCAATAAAAAAACATCGCTGTCGAAACGAGGCATACACACATGTATATATACATACACAGTCAATCTCGTGCATGTTTAGTCGTTTATGTACCGCACATTCAATGTGAATTTTGCCGAAATATGTGCTCTCATGCACACAACATACACACTTACACATGCACAGTGAAACGAAGAGCGACCACAACAAAAACTATCTTGTTATCGTGACTACGATCTAAATGGAAATATGGCTAGGCTGGTCTGATGTTTCATTCCATAATACTTGTGTATATCGCAAACGACACAGCACAGCGATGACGTTGAAGAAGACGACGGCAGCAAAGACGACGTTATATTAGTGATTTTATCAGGACGATGCAAAATAAAACACTTTGATAGTATCTCTATACTTTTTTTTTTGCCCCGTTTCATGTTCAGAAAGCATACACATACATACATGCACACGAAAGTAAGAACGAAATTTTATCTATAGAAGATCAGCCAAAAGTTACGGGTAAAAAAATCGTAGAGCATAAAAGACAATGATCGAAAAGTAAACGCTACAGTAAGAGGTAAAAGGTAGTGTGGAAAAGACACAAAATATTACGAAAGCAAACGAATACAAAGCAAGACAACTAGAACCACAAAAGTCATTTCCAATTGAATTCACATCATTCTAACCTGATCATTTATTTTGCCAATGTTTAAAAACAAACTTGAATCATTTGTGCTGGAATCATTGTCACTCATTTTATATTCATTTTCGGTGTCCAGTGGTTAGCAGAATTTTTTTTCGCGGTGTGAGTTATCGCACTTTAATCGAAATCCAAAATGGCATTTTGATGTTAGATTAAAAATATATAAACATGTCAGGCGCACATGCTAATCATGTGGCGAAGACTTTCATTCAGTGGATTGATTTCAAGCAAATGGAATAACCATTATGGAATCGTACAATTAATCTTTCGCGACCAATTAAGTAACGATTGAAAATGATTTTGACACCGAAAAAAGAGTGAATGAGAACAAAGAGAGAAAAATAATATTGATAAACATTTTTTATAGCAGCAACAAGCAGAAGCAGCAACAAATCTCGAAATAAAATCAAAGTCCCATATATTTCTTTTTAATTTTCAGAATCAAAGTTACTTTTGCGATTAGCCCGTAGATAATCCAAAAAAAAAAAAACGTAAACACGTTACCATATAATAATACAAAATTGTAATCAAAATCAAAACTCTTGACCTAACATTATCGAGATTATACGACTGTGGCAATGTGTGCTTTTCACATGCTTTTTCGTGTGTTGAAACGAAAATCAAGATATTACTCGATTCTTTTCCCGCACGTTCCATTCTAATTTTCAACTATAAGATTACGCGTTTGCATTATAATTGTTCTGGGGGAATGATAAATATCATTTTTATAACCGGAACACGAGTTTTGGGATTTTACCAAACATTTCAATATTTATCAGTTAATGTTGATAAAAACCACTATTTTATACGATTACAAATATTGTATGTGTTTGATTCGAATTTCAAAATGTTTGTGATAAAGCTAAATTTACTTGAAATAGCTTCGAATTATGGTTTATTCCGGACGAAAAATTTGTCAAAAACTGGTCTCAATTGATTCTTATCGTTCAAGTTTTTAATTGAAAATAACTAATAAACAAAAATTGAATCACCAAATGCGGTCCAAAATGATACACTTACATTTGAAGAATAACAAAAAAATGAAATCAAACTAATTTAAATCTTATTATCCGATGTGTTTGTCAATTCAATTTACCCAGAAGCTTTACAATCATGATAAAACGTATAAAAATAAACTTTTGTCTTTCTTCTTTGATTGACAGATTCAATCGACTTGAGGTTATAACCTCTGTTTAGCAAACAAAATAATTTTCCAATAAAACATGTGATTCAGGTGAAGATAATATTACTTTTGTATTATTTTATTGAGTATTATTAAACTGTCAGCTGCAATTTGTTTAATGCTCGATTTAACATTAAAACTGTTCGTTATCGAAGCGTCACATGGGTTGTTAAATTTTTGTTTTCGACCAAGGTGTTCATCTGTATGACACGAGCATCAAATCTATGAGATTATATTTTTTTTTGCTTTCAAAAGTTCAATTTCCAATCATTTGTTTTTTTTTTTGGACTTTGGCGTTTCGAAAGATATACACGATTTCTTGCCTTTTCGTCTTCGAATTGGAAACGCAATAAATTTCAATACGAAAACAATTAGATTAAATAACTTCGGATAATTGTTAGAGTGAAAGTGATCTTAAGCGTTTTCTTTTTTGAAGCACTGATATATACATAGTCAGCTTGACAGTAAAGATCAAGTAAAGTGCATTACGGGCGATGATTAGAAATATGGCGAATAGAATTGCAGTGTTTGTTGATATCGAATCGAATGTCAAGAACCTACGCTACCAGATTATTCTGCAAGTGTGATAAGTTTCGATTGTGCATCAGTTTAAAAATGTCATAATGAAAATAAAATATGTAAATATATAATCAATTTTTTACATGCCTCATATTCTCGACATTTGGATTGTTTTTCGATTTTGTTTTCAGTTTCGATTTCATTCTCTTATTCGGTGTTATCGACTATTGTTGTTATTTTCACTCATTTAAAATCAGCGAATCTAACCAAAGTTGGACTTTGTAATCGGCGAGACTCATCGTTCATCATTTTACTCACTGATTCCTATATCGTTTTCATTTCATTCTTATTCGACCGACGAAAACTATTTTTTTTCTGTGGCTTTTTTATAATTTTGATATATGAAATGAGAGCTAGAGAGAGAGAGAGAGAGAGAGAGAGAGAGAGAGAGAGAGAGAGAGAAAGAAATTGATTGTCCTGGTGGCAATGCAAGAAAAAAAGTGAACTCACCGAATCTTTTAAAAATCGTTCGACCTTTTTGTGAATGTCGACCAAATGACGCGACCGTTTTCGTTTTTACAGATTAAGATTTATCAAATATTCTATAGAATGCGATAAGATGATCTATGTACGAGCAACTAAAATGCTCACACTCTGTTTTTCACTTTGTCTACCAAATATCAGTTTCCATACATTCTTTAGCTTTTTGTGCCTTGTCCACATGTCTCATTTACATATTATTCACTCATTTCAAACGTAGATCAATGCCACGCTACAAACAATTGTTACTTCTATATTCTGTATTCATACATACAATGCGATTTTAAATTTGATGTCAATCACACCAATCACGAAAGTAAAAAAAAAACGTTTTAATGCTTTTTGATTTTATCAGGAATACAGTTGCTATCTAAACGATAACAGCTTTTTGGTCGATGGTGCGCCAGCTATGAAATCATTTAAGCTACAGTATAAGATAAATGTTGTCGCTAGTTTTACAATTATTTTATTACGAAAATTACTTCTTCCATGCATACATTTAACTCATAATCTCTATATTGGATACCACAGACGAAAAATTATCGCCCGAAATAAATATATATTTAAAAGCCGCACGTATGTGAAGAATTAACAAAGAAAAAATGAATAAGAACCAGAATTCATAGTGAGAATATGAGTGTGTATTTGTGCACCTTTTATGGCCTGACAACAGCTTCTTCAACTTTATCGGATTTATCGAATTTTATTCCATTCCGACGAAACGTTGGCAGCCAGAGAAAACATTATTGCATTTGCTTCAAAATGCGTGGTATGTCATTTATTTCTTCGATCGCGCCACGACCGTGTCTCCATTACTTATCAAACATTGAACAAAACAAAACAAAAAAAAATACTTTATTGTCATATTTGTTATATAATTTAGACGATTAGAGCGTGCGCGTGACGCCATCCATGACTTTGGCGATAAGATTTTTTTTCTTCATCAGTATATTGAATGCTATCGGTCATTTGCTCGAGACACTCATCATCATCGAAAACTATAATTAAGCTAAAAAGATAGATAACTAGTTCCTTGAACTGATACACAAA